CGTATAAAAGCATTTTGTCCTTCGGAGATGACTTGGGGCAATATAACAGCCAGACGTTCTGCCATATTTTTAGTGATCACTTTGTACACAAACTGGCATAAACTAATAAGGCGAAGTTGGCTCATGGTTTCAAGCTGATCCACCTTTGGGATCAACATTAGTCAGGTGTGGTTAAAGCTACGTAGCATCTTGCTTGTAGCAAAGAAAGAACTGACTGCTTCAACAACCGAATCCCCTACAATACCCCAGGAGGTCTTGAAAAACTTCCCCGTGAAGCCATCAGAGCCAGGAGCATGTTTAGAACCCATCGAGAATATCGTTGGACGAATTTTGCTAGGGAGGACCTCAGCCGTAAGATTAGCGTTCATCTCCTGAGTAACATTGGAGGCAATGGGGAGATTCACCACCAGTTCAGGCATGTTCGGTATTTGATTCTCAGAGGTAAACAAATGCTAATAGAAATTAACAGCGATGTCCGCTTTCCCGTGTTCCTCCGTAATCCAATCCCCAGTATCACTGCGAAGCCCTGAGACAAAATTATGCTTTCGATGGGACCTAGTGACAGTATGGAAATAAGAAGTATTTTTATCCCCCTTTTTTAACCAGCGGACGCAAGATTTTTGTTGCCAATAGGTTTCTTCTGCAGCCCATTATCGACTTAATTCGGCTTCCAGGATCTTCACTTCATCCCAATTAATCGGATGAATGAGTTTGATCCGATCAATTTCAGCTTGTAGGGTATGGATATTACGCAAGGAATTGGTTGTGCCTGCTCTACTCCAGTCATAAAGCAAGTCTCGGAGACGCTTAAGTCTCTCCCAAAGGTGAAACATCGGGGTACCTTGGATAGTTTCCTGCCAAAACATATGTTACCATCGCCTTAACTTCTGGATTCTCCACCCAGCGTGCATCAAAGCGAAACAGAGGGCGACTATTTTGGATATAGGGCTCATCGGATAGGAGTAAGGCTTGATGATCAGATCCTTGATCAGTGAAGTGCTTGACCAGAGTGTCGGGAAATGGATCAATCCAGGTCTGAGAGCAAAGAGCCCTATCAAGTCTTTCACGAATACAGGCCGACCCCATACGTTTATTTGTCCAGGTAAAAGGATCCCCCTGGTACCCCGGATCATGTAGACCCAGGTCATGAACATAGTTTCTGAGATCAATTGATTGAGAGGCATTCCACGGGGTACCACCATCTTTTCATTTTCATGAAGGGTTACATTGAAACTTCCAATAATCACAAAGGGAAGATGGAGGCTCTCACAAATTTCGTGCAGTTGAGTTCTTTGAGAAGCTCGCAAGGAGTCGTTACAACTCAAGTAAACACCAATCACGACAAACGAAAAATCCATATCATTTATTCAGGTACAAATTCAGAAATTGGAATGGAAAAACACCAAAGCATCAACTCAGGTGAACCAACCTACCACTAAACCACCAGATGTATTAATAGCATCAACAAAAAAACATTGAGAAGAATCAAAACCTAGGCCCCGCATACGGCGAGAAGCTACTCTCCGGCACGATCTTGTTTCAGAAAAGAACACAAGGTCCGGTTTATTCGAACGAACTAAACCAACAGCTGTTTGGAATGTGAGGGATGGTCCAATGCCTCTCACATTCCATGACAGTAACCTCATGGTTGGGGCCACTCGAGGCTGGCTTCCTCCACCTTAACATTCTCATTCTGCTCCTCCACAAATTATTTCTTAGGAGTGGGGTTATCCTCACAATCACCATCCACTTCCTACAACGAACGCTTACGACTCTCATTTCCTGCACCCTCAAGGTTGAGCCGTATTCATTTAACTTCATAATCATATCACCTTCCACTTCAGCCAGTGGTTCCTTCTCTTCGTTGATCATCATGCCTGCTTCAAACGCGACAACCACCTGTTTCACCTGACCCGTGTTAACCGGACGGTTATGGTCAGCAAGAGGGGCCCTTTGCTTGATCACAAAATGGAGTGCATCATCCTCCGAGGAAGAGGCAGTCGGTATCTCCCCATCTTTGACTTGCTGTTCAAACTCGGGTGGCAATTGAGTTTCCACCTTAGCACTAGAAAGTATGCCATTAGGGTCTTCCGCCGCTGGGTCAGTGCCTCCCATGCGTTTTTGGTTTCCCTTAGCCTTCCCAGCTCGGGTGCGGCCTTGAAGCTTGGTGTCAGTGCCCCTGCCGGTCGAGAGCGAATAGTTGAAGCAGCCCGCTTTGGTTTGGAGGCCGAACCAGCATTCATGCGCTGCTGCTTCGGGTTCGCCATTAAGCTGCCTTGTCCGAGCTTCACTAGCTTCTTACCCTTCTTCTGTTCATCATGGACAACCACTTGATCCTTCATGGGTTGCATGGGAAGTGTTGACGGGACAAACTCATCCTCCGACTCCTCAACAACAGTTTGCGTCTCCGTGCCCATTGTTGGATTTTGTCCCGACAAGTGACCATCCCAGCTTAGCATTAGTGCCTTCGAGGTCGGATGCCAGGATATCATCCTCAACAGGCAGGTCCATCGAGGAGACGGGGCTATTTGCTTTTGCCCTAGTTTGATTCTAGGCGATCTTGCGACCTTGAACCCATGAGGGCTTAGTTGCTGAGCCATACCACCATTCCCAGGGGAGATGGCCGCCATTGTCTTCAACTGACGGGGACGCGATTGGGGAAATCGGTCCTGGTTTCGGGCCACATCACCGACCACACTATTGATCGTGGTCTTCGGTTCCCTGTAATCTTTGTTGAACCAGACCGAGTTCACACCTCTAGGAAAGGATAGCTTTTGATCCTCCGTGTCGTAGATTCTTTTACCTAGTTTCCTCGTTGACATACGAGGACCAAAATTTTCCTTTCGGGTAGGTGGTTCAAAGGTACAGGCTCGCAACGAGTGACCCACCCTTCCGCAGTGGTAGCAGAAGCTGGGGAGGTAATCGTACTTATGGCTCACCCAGAAGCTTCCGGTATCATCATTGGTGGCCATAATCTGCGATCGAAGCAGTTTTGTGAAGTCGATCAATGCCTTGACTTTCACAAACCAGCGCCCCGTGTCTTGGCAGGCAAAGACGTCGGATTCCAGCACTTTTCCAGTAGTGGTACTCACCACTTTCCGTCCAAATTGCTGGGTGGAACAATCTCCTTTAACATCCCACAATTGAATCCTGAACGGAGCAATTGCAAGGTCATCAAAGATTTTCCTCGTAATTACAGGAGTACATGGACAGAGATGGAGGATCTTGTCATTAATCACCCAAGGAGTACGTTTGAGCACCCAGGTTTTAGCCTCTTCACTAGGCAGCACAAAGTCGATCAGGCCATGCTTGGCCATGACAACCCCGATGCATCCTAGATTAGCCATGGTGTAATCACCCCTTCTCTCAATTCCGTAGTCGAAACTCTATTCTCGGTGAACAGCCGACCCAAGAGAGAGTGTGCAGCTCGGTACTTTGTCGACTACACCTCCTCCATTGGGAATTGGACCACTTGATCAGAGGTAACATGAGCCATTTTTCGATCGTGTACGCAAGAAGAAGAAACATCAACAAACCGAATTTCCTCGGTGCTACTTAGCGAGGAGGGCGTCATCATCACACGATATGGGAGCATGCTTCCAAGGAGGGGGAGACTGATTTCGCACTATTTGGAAGTTGCGATCACTCGCAATGGTATAAATCGTATAAGTTGTATAAGTTGGCGCGACATTTGACTAGGGATAAGAATAGTACATGAGCGTTGGGCGATCCTGATGCTAGGTGTATCCGTAAGAACTCTTGCCGGTAATCTTACTCGTCTCAAAGGAAGTATGTGAGTAAGGGGATTAGGGCTAAGAGTTTTATAGGCTGGATAGACCAATGAGCTAGGGTTTACCGCAACTACTCGGTTGTTAAGATTTATTTTGATGGTAGGACACTTAATAAAAAAAGCAGGGATAATGTTTCTACGACATATCCCTTTAGACGCGGAGATCATATCAGGGTGGGATATTTTCCCAACCAACTCCCGTCGATATTGCTGATGGGGTTTAGTTTGGCCGTTGTTGTCTCACCGCAGATACCCTGGGAGGTCAGTTTCACAGAACTGCGCACTAAACCGGGTGAAATTGCATCGGTAACGAGCGAAAAAGAAGAGGTAACCACTCCAGGCACCAAAGTATTTGCAGCCATCAAAGGGTTATCCTTATTTATTTCCTCGATCCCCAAATCCTCCATAGAAGGAATATGAAATCGCCAGGCGATCCCTTTGGGCAATCGTCCGCGTTTAGAGTTTTTGAGAACAACAACATCATTCTCTGCCAGGACAAACCCGAGCTTCCTTTTACTATCCCTTCTTATGGAACATCATTTTTCCATGGCGAAAGCGCCATTTTTTTTTATGATAATCCCGCGTACGGCAATGGGACGGCGGTAGCGAGAAATCCACGGACCTATTCTCCCAACCTTCACCTTTGGGTAAAAGTGAGATTGTTATGTGTTTTTTTTTCTTCTTCCAATTATGTCCCTACTTTTTTTTATGTGTGTTGCTTTTTTATATTAAAAACAAAGGGTGAAAGTGACATTTCACCAAAAAGTAATATAACTTATTTAAATAACACAATAACTATCATAAAAACTAGGGCTAATACCACTACAACACCCGAACTATCTCGAAAATGCCACTTGTGTCCTATTGTTTCCAATATTCCATCTGTGTCCTGAACTATTATTCCGTTAGTGTTGACCGGCGTTGACCGTTAGTATTTAACAGAAAATCCAGTCAGCATTGGCGTGGCATCTGATGTGGAAATTTTCATTATCAATTTTCATTTATTTTTTCATCTAAGATAATAAAAACAAGGAAAACAATATGAAAAATCCCAAAATCATTTTAATCCCTTCTCCAGTCCAGCTCCTCTACCTCGCCGCTGCACTTCTCCCAAAATCTTTTTAATTTCCCCCAAATCAGAACCCTTCGTCTTCCTCCTCCTTCCTATACAGAAGAAATCCTCCTCCCAAATTCGAAACCCAAAAACAGGATGAGGCCGCTAGACGAGGCGGAGACGACGGTCGTCTTCGAGAAGCTCCTGAAGTTCACCGACAACAACCTGAAGAACACCGTCGAGAGCCCCGCCCATGAGGGTCCGGACCCGAACCCCGGCCGCTACTGCTTCCGCCTCCAGAAGAACCGGGTCTAATACGTCAGCGAGGCCCTGGTGAAGCGCGCCACCAACATCAGCCGGAAGAACCTCGTCGCGATGGGCACCTGCGTCGCCCGGTTCACCCACGGCGGCAAGTTCCACCTCACCGTCCAGTGCCTGGGCCTGCTGGCGACGAACGCCAAGCACAAGGTGTGGCTGAAGTGACAGTTGCCGGAATCTGGGTTTGTTGTCCTTCCCCATTTTTTTAATTTCAAGATATGATGATAGAGGAAGAAGAAGAAAGGGAAAGTGCAAAGTCAAAATTTTCATTAATGTTGAGTTTACATGTTTTGTGTTTTTAATATTATTTTTTATTTAATTTTGAATATAAAATATGAGGTGTCAATGACGTGGCATCTATGTGGCTGCCACATTTTTTGCCACGTCAGCAAAAGTCAACTTCGCGATGACCACCGTTTGGTCAACCGTTATCTTTAACGGTCAACGAAATTGACAGGATACAAATGACACAACATATTATAGTTGAGGACATAAATGGAATATTGAAAAGAATAGGATATAAGTGACATTTGTGTCATAGTTCGGGTGTTGTAGTGGTATTAGCCCTAAAAACTAAACGATATAAACTACAATACACTAATTTTCGTATATACATGTATACTATTATGCATATACTAATGACAAATCATCTATTTAACTATCACCAAAACCAAACGGGAAAGTGAGAAAGAAGCTAAAGCATTAGAAATGGAATTTCATCTCCATTGCACGAAGGGAGGTGCTAATCATCTCCATTTCCAAGTCATATCATATAGCCCTTTCATAGATATGGAAGCCAAGGTCTCCCGTTTGATAGATCAAAAGACTAGAAGTAGGAGTAAGAGACTTTCTGGAACTGATCTTAACTCGTGAGGAACCAGAAGGCAGAAGCCATTCCCCTCCCAGCAACAATACACAAGGATAAACTTCGTGGGACAGGAAGCGAGAACGGAAAATATACAGTTAAAAAAACTAGATACTATGGAGATCAATAAGCAAAACAATGAGATGAAGCATGAATTAGGAGTTGTGGAAATTAAAAGTCCCTGGAAAGCTGACGATATTTCTCTGGAGGGCAGCTGACAATATTCTACCAGTTGGGGTTAAAGTTGATAAGAGGGTCAAGACTCGAGATGAGTCGAGATTCAAACACAGGTGATAAATGTCCAAATTGTGGAATGAAAGAGGCCGTAAAACTGTCTGGTGTACTGCAGCTGGGTAGGAAGAATCTGGAGTATAACTGCACTGTATTAACTGTCCTATTTGGCTGAAAATCAAACTTGCAGGGTCTGGGTGATGAATGTGGTCAAGGAGGCACAGGAATAATTCCTCTTCAACAAGAAAAATACGCATAAATGAGAAGTGATTCTAGAGCAGTGTCTTCGATAATTAGTGGTGGGTTTGTTGTAATAGCAAACTTTTTTCTGTTTAGTAAGGACAGAGTCCTCGACGAAAATGAGTAAGTAGAACAATTCGGTTGTAATAGCAAACGCTGCGCCTCCCGATCATATATGGCTATTGTTACTCTGCCAGTAGAACAATTCAGCAATGCTGTTGTTCCCAGTCACACATGTTCTATGTAGAACTATAGAAGCTTAACCTTTAAATGGGTAGGGTAAGTTAATCTTAAATGTCCGCTGACTTTGTTAACTTAACTGCAAGTAGCCACCATAAATCAAGTTCCTGTCTTCATGGTTCTGTCTTGCCTTGCAGCAAACGACTCAGCAACTAGCAGCGGGAAAGCAATCGTTGCATCACAATGAACCTTCAGTTCAAAAAACCAGGGAGAGATCAGTCAAAAACATTGTTATATAGCTTCACCAGTCGATAGAAGGAAACTCCATGATCATGATGGAAAACATAGTGTAACAGTGAGGGTTAAAGACTTAAAGTATAGATGCCTGGTCACTGAATGAAGTTTTGTAACAAAATGATCACAAAGATTAAAAATCGTACAAAATACTCACCATGCTGAATGATTCATAACAAAAGATTCAATCTGTTTCATCTGTGTCCAATTGACATTGAGTCCTGTTGAGTCAGCATGTCAAACAGGTTCACTTCACCGAAGTCGCCCAATCGGGCACCACAAGCACCAGCTGGACCCAACTCTTTCCAATTCGAGAATGAATTTGATCACAGGTTCATGTGTTCCCCGGGAGTTGGGAGTCCGTTTCGAGAGCCAAGGGCCCAGAGGATGCATAGGGTACTGATTGGTACATTACGGAGACAGGACAAGCCTATTTGACATGCTAAGTCAATCAAACCATGCGTGAACAAGACAAAATGATTATTTTGCTACAATCCCCTAGTTTAGTTGGCATTTTGTTACAATGGTTTTGTTTAATGCTTGGTTTGTTACAAATGCAACAGCCACATAGACATCTACCCTGCACCAGAATGCATCGAATGAAACAGCTCATAGCATATATCTCATCATTTGAGCAACCCGAAAAACAAGTGAAAGCAAGGTCATAACCAAAAGGAGCACACAAGAGAAGATAATACCTTTACTGTTTTGGCAGAGCCTCGTATTTTCCCCCAAGAAACAGCCTCATCAGGCTGAGCTCCAGAATCACTGCCATCAAACTCCTGCGCTGTGTTGACGAAAACAGCATAATCTGCACCATTTCGCATCATATTGGCATTGCATATGTGGTGCTTGGGAAGCCCACCTCCAAGAACAATTATCCCCGTTTTTCTTGGAGTTGCATGAACAGCCTCCCCATTCATGGACCTGATATCTGTACCCCCAATAAAAATGCATGTTATGTAATCTTCAGAACTCAAATTGTCTTGAGGTAATTTTAACCAATTCATAACACCAACATGAAAAGTGGTGGGTTCATTCACAGATAGCATCCTCCGCTAGGGGTGTCCGTTCGAGTACCCGAACCTAAACAACTGAAAACCGAACCCAATAATGACTTTCGGTTTCCGGTTATCCAAAACCCGAAAATGCCTTATCGGGTTCGGGTTCGGTTAAAGCAAACCCGAACACCTAAAAATACAGATTGAGTGCTATTTTTTAAGGTTTTCAGCCGAAACCCGAAAAACCGATAAGCAAAACCGAACCCGAAGCCGAAAAATCCGAAACCCGAACCCAAAAAACCGAAAATGTATCTAATCGGGTCGGTATCGGATAAACCCAAAAAACCAAACCCGAATGGACACCCCTATTTGAAAGGTACTCTCATTACTTCTCCAATCAAAACAGTTCAATGGCTTATATTGGCTCTTGTACCCAACTTGTCCCAAGGATGTTCAACTGAAAGAAGCAAATGGAGGCCATGGATAACTGATATAAGTAAGATATTGAGCCAGGAGACTCTTACCTTGAACTATGTCCACAATCAATCCTGGATTGCGGAAGGAATGAAAGTACAGCATGTCCCCAAGTGAACCGTCAGTTAATCCAGGACAAAACACTGGAATGTTGTTCTGGAGAAGATGGAAAAAACTAACAAATATGATCCAAAAAGGGGAAAATCCAAGTATTGGAAAATCAAGAAATACTAGCTTGTTACCTTGTATGCCCAATAAAGGTATGAGCTTTCACATTTAATCTCTTTCCCGAGTCTAGCAATTAACTTCGATGGCGTCCATAGAGTATTCTATCAAACAGAAGAAGGAAGCTGTAAGATTCTCACTCAGCTGAAATGGATAAAGCCAACATGAGCAAAAGCCATACATTTTCAGTTTGTTCTTTTAACATCTGGTCAAAAATGGGAATAACCCAGTCCTCAAACTTGCAGTAGTTATCATTAGGAACTAACAAGTTGCCGATGCGATTCAACCCTTTTGCACGCAGTTGAGCTCCAGGTAAAGAGAAGTCCCCTCTGTAAGTCGGGGCTAGGCATTTGATAAGGTCTTCTTCTATGCCACCTGCAGTTGTGACCACCACATCAACCTGCAGCAAATTTTCTGCAGCATCATCATCTGGTTCACTACAAGCAAAGTTTAAGGTACTCAAGAAAGAGCAATGTTCAGAAACAACAACCATCATCGGAGCTAATTGGTCCATCTAATCCCGCAGAGCAACAAACATCAAAGGTTGGGTTGAATACCAATTTGATTCCCAATCTCACTTATATGTATCACATAGGACACTACAAAAAGAAAGTCAAAATCCCTTTCCTCACCATGTGATGCTGAAGGAGATAACGAACTGTATCTCTAACGCCGGAAGAGATCAAATTTGAGGTGAACCCCAAGAAAATCTTGCACCTCACTGACTCTCTATATACAGGCTCCTTCTCTTCTTCACTGCAATCTTCAGCAATGGCCTCATCAGCAAGCCTCCAGTCTAACTTCAAGGCCAATAGCAAAAGCACAAATGATAAGACGAGACCATCAAATTAAGGGAAAAGGTAAAGTGCTTGACTACTAGTAGCAGGATATCAAAGCCAGACCATCTGATTAACAACTGAAATTGCGTCGCCGAGATTGGAAGCTTGGAACCCAGTTGAGACCATTGATTTAAGCAGCTGAGGGTAGTCCACGCCCTGGTTGAAGTCGTAGCCTTTGATCTCATGGCCTTTCCCCTCGAGAGACTCCGATTGTTTGAACACGGTAGCGTGCACTGATGAAGGGATGCCGCCGTTTTCCATGTCTGCTCCAGCTGAAGCTAGTCAGATTGAATATCCCTGGTAACAAAATTAAAAACTTTGGATATCAAATACAATTTTCAATCCTGATTCTGCTGTGATATACTAGCGAGCATAAACCTATTTTACCTCGAATGACACTATGACGGGCGGCGGCAGCCCAGAAGGACGCAGCAAGAAGGACCTTGACTGGCGGCTGGCGGCGGGCGGCGAGAGACGGAGAAGGAGAACTCGGCTGACGACAACAGACGAACTGAAGCGCCGTCGACGGAGGCGCCTGCGATGGAACGCAGAGATCGAGATTTTGACGAGAGAAAAGAAGGCTGCTTTTTTCGCGGGATTTTATTCAGCTAGTCTTTTTGTTGCTTAAATGGGCTTAGCAGTGGGGGGGAAAAGCCCAACTCCTCCCTGGAAATAACAAACCAGAGGGAGACGACGCCACTGCTCGTTCTTTTGGGAGATTCGCACTTTGCTTGGTAAAGATTTCTACTTTCCCGTCTGATCTCTCATCTCCGTTCAAAAGGAACGGAAAAGATGATGCCTTGCTCTGTAAGTTTGTCTTCCTCGTTGCTCTACTTCCTTGTGTTCGCTTTGCTGTGTGTTTGGGGGATACGCCATTTTACCCTATTGTTCTTATCTCAGTCGACGACTCTGCTGTCGAATTTCTGCAATTCTTGTCGACCTAGCATTTGGATCTGGCTTGAGTTCTCAATTAAGGGTTTTATAGATTTCTTCAATCTGTTTCATTGGAGTTATGGTTTTCTCGATTGAGCAAGCTGCTTTGCTTGTTCTTAGATGAAGCAGAAGCAATTTCTTCCTAATTCTTGGGTTTTGCTTGAAGTTTTCTGCTAAACACTATTTTAAGTACTTTGAATTTCTGGCAGTATCATTGGTTCAAATGTTTCTGCATTACAAATTGAATTCAGATTACACTATCTTAGTTGGTGAGTTTTCTAACTTTCTTTTTCTCCCTACCTTTTCTCAGTTGCCATGAGAATAATAGGGTGGATTTGCTGGCGTTGGAAAATGGGTATCATATGGAAATTCTTCTTCTGTTGCTGCTTCATTGTTGTAACTCTGTCCATTTATGGCGACTGTTTGTCTTTGGAGGTTGGTGATAATATGCTGTGCTCTCTTGAAACCGTGAATCTCATTCGGTTCTTCCATTTGTATGACCAAGTTTCAAGGTAGAATCGTGCTTACTGGGTTTCAAATGGAAACTACGATTTCTTTGCTTTGCTGGTAGGTTTCTGACATATATTGCCCTCAAATTAGCAAGACGTGATAGGACTTCATTTTAATCCCATATCTGCATTGGCTAAAATTCTGTTTGTGAAATGAATATCTTCATCATAGTTACCTACGAAACTATCTTTCTTCTCCCTTTCATGTCTGCTTAATGAAGCTGTGGCATTTTCGCCTCTTCACTTGATGTCCTAACTACATGATGGACTGAACTGAGTTCTTCTCTGATGAGCTAACGGTACTTTTGTCAGGATTGTATACTGAAGTCTTATTTCTCGAAAAACGAAGTTCTTACTGATTCTAGCTTTCAAGATCTCCTACAAGATGAGCTCTCAAAGTTCTCATGCAAACTGCTGCCTGGCGATCCCAACCCTCAACTTACACTATCTGGTTTGGAGCGTCGTCTGATTGGGGAAGGCTCTCATCGCCATCTATCTTCAACAATCCAGCTTCAAGTCCCTCCACAAAGTTTCCCTCTTCAGTCTTGCAAGCTTGTAATGATTGAAAGACTGCCCTCTGGAGTCTTTGCTGATCCATTCGAGCTTGACCACCTATTCCATCATGGAGGTAATCATAATTTGTTAGGAACTAACAACTGCAAGTCTCTCTACTTATCTTTCCTCGTAGATTAGCTCATTCTCACGCTTGGTTTTCCAGCATATGCTGGCATAGGTGTCTTCGGAGATACAAATTTGGAGTTGCCTTCGGTTTCCTCAAATAGGTCTGCAGTGGAGATTCACATGAATTTCGAGCACAGCATTTCATCCGGAGCCATGTCTGAACTTGGAATCAGAATAGACCTCCCATTACATGCCCGTTATGCGGTAAAGCTCAAACTCTCTCATCCTTAATTGAACAATCAAACATGAAAAGGCTCAAATGTGTCCATTCTGGAATTGCAGCCGTTGCATGAAAGCGGATATTCAGAAGTAGCATTTGGTACGCCGGATTTGCTCGTGAGTTGCAGCATGGAAGGAAGCTCAGGGATGAGAAGTTGCTTGATTGTGCCAAGCCATGACAGCAACAGACTGAGAACAGATGTTGTGTGGAAAATACCATGTGGGATTATGAGCCATACAAATGTGGTTTCTGTTGTTACGTTTGCTACTGCCTTCGTATCAACCCTTGTAATTGTATTTGCATCCGTACTTTACCCCAAACCTCGTTGAATATGCTCAAAGATATAAAAATATAAATATTAAAAAAAAATATACCATCATTTTCATGGTTGATAGCAATCCAAATTTTCCATTCTTAACAACCATTTTACTTTACTTTCTAACACTCCCTTGGTTTCCTTCCTCTTTTAAAAGGTCCACCCTCATTTGTCAATTATAACATTAAGTAAATTGAACGAGAATAGGAATGTGCATTGGACATGTCGGATGATTATCTTAATATTCATAATTGCATCAAATCATATGCTAGTTGAGTGGTTTGGTTTCACATATGGACTAGGCCAATCTACTAAAATATGTGTATTGGAATCAAGTTTATCAATAATTTGATTCGAAGACAAATTCTTCAAGTGTATTGAAAACAATTGATAAAAAAGACATTCTATCTAGGAACAATGATAGTTAAGACAAATTCTTCAAGTGTATTGAAAACAATCGATAAAAAAGACATTCTATCTAGGAACAATGATAGTTAAGACATTCTTCAAGTGTATTGAAAACAGTCGATAAAAGAGACTTTCTATTGACAAGGATAATGAAGACAAGTACTTCAACTAATTGAAACTCTCGAACTAAATATTGACTATAATATATTGAAGATAACTCGTATATTTTTGAAGGAGTTACTATCCCCAGTGAACAAATCACATTCTCCGTATATATGTTTTGACAAAGTGAGTGAAGACAAGTTCTTCAAGCCTTTGAGACTCGCACTAAATATTAACTGGATTTAAACCAAAATAAAATATGATGTATATAAGTTGAATCGTGTATTTTTCAAAATCACTACTAACCATCCGTCATAAACAAATCGGCATTCGAAACATGTCAAAACGAACCTGTAAGATCGGAATTGTTGCCACTTATAAATTATAATGCCATTTTGTGATTAAGGAGAGTGAGATTTGAAGTTCATAACAGAAGACTTTGCACTTAAACAGAAACATGGCGGTGATTAAGTTCCCTGGAAGACGCAATAATGATGTCGGGGTGCGACAAATGAAGCCAAAAACTTTCTGGGAAGATCGGACATCAACAATAATAATGTTAGTTTTTTGTTCCTCCTGCCACATTACACATGATTAAGCATGCATTCCAATTTTGGGGCGTTTTATATAAGTTGTTTTGTTCCTTCATACTGACAAGGGGAAAACTGAAAAGAGATTGGCTTTTTTTGCCTTTATGTTTGGCAACTTTCCTCCTTTTTCTGTTTGATTAGTGTTTGAAATTAAGTGACAATGAGAAACCTAGTCTAGGTACATTTAATCTAATTCAGTAAAAAAAACAAAAGTTAAAAACGTGTGGGCAGCAGGGAGAGTGTGCAAAAGTAAGATTTGGTTTTTTCTTGAACAGGGTGTGATGAAAGTTAAAGTTGTCGAATTTGTATCCCGTTGTAATTAGTAAATTACCCTTTGTTTGTCCACACGTGGCAAGGTTCTTAGAATCTAAATGTGCCCTCTTTGATCGCATTTCAGACGAGATTTTGCCGGTTTTTACTAGTGATGCAACATCTTTGAATAATCATGTCATGTCTTAAGATTAAAAAAAAATCCTTAAGTAGTTCAATTATTCAGATGTTTGATGTATTTGACTAGGTGTCTTAAAAATTCTTATTTATAACTACATGAACAAGAGGTTGATCCACTGATAATATCACTAATTTTAATCAAGAAGTCATAGGTTTGAATTATTCAAGTAATACTTAATCACAAAAAAAATTAAAATCCATAGCACCCTTATGTATAAAAAATTCTTATAACTACATCCAATGTTAGTAAACAAGATAGATTTCATTTTTATAGTTATGCAGAATTGAAGCGATGACATGAGTTGACGAGTAAAATGCTTACTTGGTTTACATAATGAATGGTTGAAGGAGAGGATATATATAAAAGATAATAATTTTTCACAATATCCGTCACTTTCTTCACTAAACTGCTCGTGTTCACGTGGACAAAGATGATATTTTTATGTTGTTGTCACTATGGTTTGATTATATAAAAATTCGGTACCAAAAGAGAGTCGTTTGCTAAACATATACTGCTAAACACATGAATTTCAAGATATCATATATGGTTTAGGTTGACATTGTAAGGATTCATGTAATCTAATAATACAGTATTTGAATTACACGAATTGTAATATGAGTATTACATAAATGAACTATTAAATACTTTGGATGAAACCAAAGCATTCTACAATTCACATTTACACTTTTTTTTTTCATGAACGCAAGTATTTTTATTTACGCATTTATAAGAGGCACAAGAACCACAGTATTAGTATCCAACTGAAACAAGAAACAATATGGAAAATTAGTGGGAACAAGCAAATGATGAAATGAAGCAATCGATAAGTATCAGTAGATACTAGATAGCATGAGGTTGGGCTTCTTTCTTCTGGGCCTGATCAGCTCGTTGCATTGGGTTGAGCCCAAATAATGTCACTCATTTTTGTTTTGTTTTCTTATTTACAAACGGGAAAAAACAAAAGAACAGAAGCAGGGGTAAAGAGTTTGCCACCTTTACAATTCCCTCCTTTCCTCCTCAGAAAACTCTCACAACAGCAAGTGTCAGAACCTCTGAGCTCACAACAGCAAGAGAAAACAAAAAAAGAAACCCATCATTTCCATCCTTCACCCCCAAAACTCCGTAACACTCACTTCACCTTCTTCCCTCTCCCAATCGCCATTCACACTTCATTTATTTCCTTCAACCTAAATATATAGCTTCTCCTCTCTCTCTTTTACCAGTCAAGCAAGCTCCCAGGAGAGCTCCAAAACCTTGTCTTCCTTTTTTCCATCACAAAATCTCCACTCCCCCATAAACCCTAGAAAGAACCCCATTTCCCCACCTCCATCTCTCTTTCTCTCTCACTATCTCCATTTCCCTCTGAATCTTCTAAAAAACAGAGCCCACAAGCACCATTTTTTTTTTTGTTCTGCACAGAACCAAGAAGAAGAAGAGAAAAAATCCCCTTTCTCTGTCTCTGTCACTCTGTCTCAGACTGAAAAATCGGATGGCTCAAAGCTAGTTCCTTTATTTTGCACCATTAGAAAGAAAAAAGAGAGGGGATAGGTAGCTTTGAATGTGACTTTGAATGGGTTGCGGGCTATCACAGCTAGCTGCCAAATTTGCCTTCTTCCCACCAACTCCACCAACGTACCAGATCAAGAAGAAGGAAGGTGGTGGTGGGAATGGGAGAGATAAGCTAACAGTAGTCTCCACTTCCCCTTCTCCTTCACTTCCTCTGCCTCTTCCCGACGACAATTCCTTAGATGTGCTGTTGATCGACACCAAACGGGGCAACAAGATCGTTGCTTTCTACCTCAGGAACCCATATGCAAGGCTCACTCTGCTTTACTCCCATGGCAATGCTGCTGACCTTGGTCAGCTCTACGACCTCTTTGTCCAGCTCAAGGTCAACCTCAGAGTTAATCTCATCGGGTTAGTACTCATTAGCACTGTTTTCTGGAAATTGCCCATTTCATATTTTCTTGTCAGCTGAAATGGGTGTTGTTTATTAGCACTATGGAGGAATGGGTTTAGTGAAATGCTTGGTTTTTAATTGAAGTGGATTGAGTTTTCTAAAAGTTTTCTCCATGTGGGGCATGGTGGGAGTTCTTAGATCTGTGATCTTTATGTATGATTGGCATTGGCATTGGCATTAGCCTGGCTTGTTGTTCATGGATTAGATTCTTTTAATTTTTGGATCATTTTAGGTGGAAATAGGTGGAGGAAAGTTAAGTGATGTGCTTTCCTTTTCATTCAGTTTTGTTTTTCTCTGCTTTAAATGCTGGTTGAATAGAAAGGGACATTACATTAGAGTAGAGAAAGACTGGTTGAATAGTTCCCCATGTTGATACCACAGTCTTTTTTCCTTCCTCCCCCACACCTTTCCACATTTCCCTCCTAGTTACCATTTTTTTCCTCATCTTATCTTCTTCTGTATTTTTGGTTTGATTGGTGAAAAGGAAAAATTACTATCGCAAAGGGATAATTGATGGGGTTTTTCTTCCTTCCCCTTTACTTGTTTTTTACCCAAGCATGATTGGAATTTTACCAAATCCACTTTTGACACTTTTTTGTGCCCTTTTCATGCGTGTGCTTACACTTTATCCACAGTAGAACACAGATCTAGAAGAAAGTTTATATCTTTTTTGACAATTGAGTTTTGCCATAATCAGGAGGTGGGCAGCGCATGTCTTGTCTTTGAAGTTTTTGCTTAAGTTGTTTGCTGCTGGCTTAAGTATGTTCATTTTTGTTTTGTCTGATTGTATCATTATGTCTGCCATTGGAAATGCAGATACGATTATTCTGGCTATGGAGCCTCCACTGGCAAGGTAAGCTGCTGTTCGTAAAGTGTTCTCCCTAATCTAATGTTAAAGTACCAAGTTGTTCATGCCTTATCTCCTAATACAGGAATGTGACTTGTGTTCATAATGATGGTGTCTTGACGTGGCAGATGCATAAGATTTTTCTGAATAGGGAAGTACTGCTAACATGGATATAACTCTCAACCAATTAACATTACTAGAAATGGTTATAAAATTAAAAGCTGTAGAAATGAGAAAGAGGAAGCTAGCAGTGATGCGCTGTTATAAAACTGTGCAAATTCTTGAAGAAATCATGCATTCCATAGGTGAGTTTCTAAGAATGCTTGTATTGTCAAAATCCTGTGTCGATACTCAACGAAGTGTAAAGTTAAAGTTTAATACTGTAATACAATAGGAAATTAAACCCCCCAAATGGACTCAACATAAAGCACCCCTTTTTTCCTAATGCGTGCCCAGCAATTTCATAAGGGGAAAACATGAAACAAACAATTGTGGGAGGGCCAACTTTGAGGATGTATTTGGATTTCATGTATTCTGGAAATACATGGAGTCTTCAATGCTTGATTTTTGTATAAAAATGGGGCAAGAGAAATGATGTATGTACAGAAATCATGTATTGCCAAAGTAAAGAAAGAACAATGTCTCGCAGCAAACTAACTTTTCTCTTTTTCTATTTTTCCCCCTTCCTTGTTCATTATTGATTTGTGACCATTGTTACTGTTAAAGTATAGCGTCTTCCTATATATCAGTAAAACTTGGTGAAAATTTCTTAATGGATTAACATGATGGTGCAGCCAAGTGAATCCAACACGTATGCTGACATAGAAGCAGTGTATCAGTGCCTCGAGACGGAGTATGGAGTTAGTCAGGAAGACCTGATTTTATACGGACAATCTGTTGGTAGTGGACCGACATTGCACCTGGCAGCCAAGCTCCCAAGGCTGAGAGGGATAGTCTTGCACAGCGCCATTCTTTCCGGTTTACGTGTGCTCTGCCATGTGAACTTTGCGTTTTGCTTTGACATATACAGGGTAAGAAACCTGTTCTACCATTTTACATCTTAGCCTGTCTCATTTGTGCTTTCTATGCCCTCTAATGGATTGTTTGTTTTGGAATATGCAGAACATCAACAAAATTCAGGCTGTGAAATGTCCTGTGCTAGTGATACACGTATGTTATCCTTATCTTCCTTTTGTACTTATGCTGCTTCTCCCATACGTTGGTTGATGACATTCTTTCCTTTCCCAATACCTGAATCAACTATCGAGTATGTTCAGTTATGGTGGCTTCTGAGTTAGGAAGAAGAGTCTATTGATTTTGTGTTGCAAATCTTCAAATCACGGAAGTTGACAGTCTAACTGACTAATCATAATGAATGAAGCCAGCATATAAACTCGTTGTTCGATTTCGCGTTCCTAGCCTCTTGTATCTAATGGAGGATCAAGCAAATCGAGCTAGTAACCTTAGGTCTCACCTATAGATAGAAGGAGCTGTACTATGCTAGGAAAGCTTCTTCTATTCTACTACCTATACCCAGGCCTAATCTATTGGCATTTAATGCTGAACTATGCTCTTTAAGGTTTAAAGCTTGAATGGAGGTATTCTAAGTAGTTGACCATATGATGATGCAATGGTCAGAGATTATTTAGCTGAAATTTTCAACTCAGAATGATTGTTAAGCTACTGAGCTTATGTTATAGCCATGTTAAAACTTCAAATTCATTTGCTATAATCTGTTGAATTGATGAAAGCTTGTTACTGAAGGCAATATGGTAGAAACTATAAAAGATAAACCAGGCACCTTCAGACTAGAAAGTGGGAGTCTACCTGTAGAGGAAAGATTCCGAATAGAACCATTGGCGGAGAGAGTGAAGAGTCTCTTTGCACCATATTTCTTTGTTTGTAGCCTTCTGCTTCCATCTTGATCTCTTGTTGTACTCTACTCTGCAGTTGTTCTTCGGATGGATAGGAGCATTACTCACCGAGTTTCAAACTCTCTAAAGTTTCGCCGCTTGTTTTTGTTCTTTTTGTTGCAGGGCACGGAGGATGATGTAGTGAACTGGTTACACGGGGACGGACTGTGGAAACTGGCAAGGGAACCATATGAACCTTTATGGATTAAAGGGGGCGGACATTGTAACTTGGAGCTATACCCTGATTACATCCGCCATCTTTGCAGGTTCATACACGAAATGGAGAACATGAATACAAAACTACGTCTCAAAAGAATACGTCAGCACCTCCACCTAAAACCCAAGTCATCAACCCGCCACCGCTGCTGTAGGTTTAGACTCTGGCGCCCGAGATGCCCAAAATGTTTTACTCCCACGTGCATAAAATGTCGCTGCTGCAACATCAGATGCGGCATGGGAGGGTGTTGGAAATGCTGCTGCCCTATGCAATGTTGTTGGAAGCCGCGTTCCAGATGCCGTTCGACTAAATGCTCGACACCCTGCTGCTTCCGGTGGCAGTGCTGCTGCTGCTGCGGGGACAGCAGAACGACCGTTGGAATTAATGGAAAGCAGGATGGATGATGATGAATTGATAATGTTTATGGTAGGTTCTGGGTATGCTTGTATAGATGATTTGATGATTCTACTAACCTAGGAGAATAGTCAATTGAATAACAAGCTTCTTCTGGGTTGGGGAATGAGGTAAGATGTAACTTATGTCAATGATTGGTTAAGCCAAAAAAGGGGTTAATGGTATTTTTAGTCTTCAGTTTATCGCTTATTTCTTATCTCTGCCGAAGATTCATCCCAATTAATCGCTAGTAGTAAGCACGTCCTAAATAGTTCATATGATATCTATACTGAAAAATCCATCTTTCGTCCATTGCATATACACATGGAAGAACAAGAAAAAGATGAGGCTAATGATATGATTATGAGAAAACATATATAAAAAGTTAAGTGTTCCTTGTAGTTGGTGTGTAGCATTCAGAAATCAAAGATCCAACTCCCTCCATTTTGTGCAAATCAGGGATCAAAGATAAGAGAAGACTGAGAGTTTTTCAAAGGATCAACCCTTGAGCAGGTGCTGGCTTGGAAGGAGATTTGGAAGATGGCGATGACGATTTGATGTCCGCACTTGGCGGCAATTTCGGATCAGCAGGAGAGGGCGACTCCTGCTCTAGTTGATCATCATGATCATGGCTTGATGGTACATTCGGGGAATCGGCCAAGTGAACTGAAGCAAAATCCTCCACCACTTTCCTCTTCTGCTCTTCCTCGGCCATCCCAACCTTCTCCTTCGCCTTCTGACCCACGTCTTCCGCCGCCTTGGCCACTTTACTAAATGCCCCCGTCACCCAAGCAGCACTGGTGAACACGTACCGGTTCTTCATGATTGCCGAACCAGCGCTGCTGACCTTCTGCTCCGCGACTGCGAATGCAGACTTGGTCTTCTCGGAAACTTGGTACTTCTGGTCAACTTCGCGTACCTTGTCGCCCATCACAGTGCTGGTGGCGCTGAGCTTGTCAGTGAGGCCTATCTTCTTGTCGAAGGAGGCGACTTTGGCTAGGCCAGTTGACGTCAGCTGGTGCTTCTCATCAAAGGATTTGGCCTTGTTGACAGCGTCTTTGCCCAAGATGAAGCCTTTGGCCAGCATGCTGCTGACCACGTCCTCCGCATTTCGGAGAGCTGAGTCGGGCTCAGCAGGTGCGGATGGATTGTTCTCCTGTAAACATTTGAACTTACAGTGATGAGATCATGAGAATCAACATGTTCGAAACAATCTACATGCTATCTATTTGGAACAACTACGCATTTCAACAATCATCAATCAAAAGGATCACCTACTGTCCATTCGTGAACCAGTGCAAGTTCCAAGAGATTCTTACCATTGCCAATAAGACAGCCGGTGGTAGCTTGTAATCTGGATCTAGAACTATGGTGACAGCAAGATCAACTATAGTTGCTCCCTAAACAAAGAAAAACAATGTAGATAAAGTAAGTATATAAACATAACCTGTACCTATACCGGAATTAAACTAAATCAACCGAACAAATAAAGGACTAGCAAGCATTTTTAGTTCCTTTACTATGGTGTCTTAACAAATAGACCACATCATTTGTCCGTTTTTAGGCCATCTGTTAAAAAACTTTGAAAAAACCAAACATGCTCTTGATATTTCACATACCACATATGCCTGGAATTGGTATTGTTTTCACTCAAAAGACAATATGTAATCTTAGTCCTGAGAAACCCCAAATTGAAGGGTGCATCATATAGGTGAGAATAGATGTAATCTCCGGCATACATAGCATGTGAGTCATCCAGAATGTGATCACTAAGTACGAGCATATTCCAAACGTAATGTACTCTAATGGATCCTATAACTTATGGACCAAAAACAGATACACGAGTAATACCATTGACCAGAGCTGGACTAGCAACTAGAGATGTATTATATGAAGGGTTCTTGGGAGTTCAATTACCGAGAGAAGAACTGCAGTATCTGCGCCTTGAGCATCTTTGAAGGTAACAAATCCCACTTGAGATTTCTCATCAACACTACATAAAAGCATAGTGGAATCAGTTTTTTCAAAGACAGGATACACAAGACTCACGTAGTTTAATTCGAAGTCGTTAAGTAAAATTTACCTTTGCATCTCAACATATTCAATATCACCAGAGAAAGAAAAGAACTCATTTAGGTCTTTATCCGTCGCCTTTACAGAAACATTGCTCACCTTCACTGTTTTCACCTGCGACAACAATGAACTGAGTTATTAAACGGTCATAAATTACAACACATCAGCGTATCAGGAATCACACTACTAACCATTAAACTAAAAGTATACGATGACCAACGAGGTCAAAGAGAGATTCCCAAGATCCACCCTTCATAAATTGATAAATGCGCGTCTAATTACTAAACCAATAATCAATTCCATACGAGAATGAGGAGTTGAGGACCACCACTCAGTAATCCAATTCAAATAACCCCCTATTTTTATACATCAAGTTGAGCCCCAAGTTCCAACGCATAATGCCCTCAACATGAAATGCGTATCTTCTCATATCACGATGAAGTACTGATCGAGTATTTCATCAAACTCGTTATCATTAGACCAACTCCGACGTGTTTTTCTACAAAGTTTCAAAGTAAAATACGCATTGGTTCTGATCGATAACGAATCAGATGCCTTTCATCTGAGCCTTCTCGTTAAATCACCTAAATTTGCTTTTAACGTAAGAATCGTATGGTCTAAACCCCAATTCCAACAGCAAACCCATGAGAACACACAATTTCTAAATCCATGTTCGTGCTGTCAATATTCAACAACGACAAAGAGGAATCCATGTCGAACTGGTAAAACGAAGAGAACCATCATACCAACAATGGACGATCAAAGAGGCGAAATTGATTAACTGGGTCATTTCCAAACCCCCGAAATCGCAACAATATGGGCCAAAAAGATAATAAAAACCAGAAACGAAAAATTGAGTGCGCAGATCGACTACGACGGGCATAAACCAGTGAAGAGGAAATTTCACGTACCGACATGATAACCGGCGACGTGGGAAGGAAATCGGCGACGATCTGGGGCAAAAGAAATGGAAATTAAGAAGTGGGATATGCAGACAGATTCTTATCGAGCGGAAATGTGAGATCTTTTTTGTGGCAAGATTTGAGAGAGGGTCCGGAGGAGGAGAGAACTAGAGAAGCGTGAGAAAGTTCGTTTGGAAGTTGTGAAAAGGCCGCGTTTGGATGTTACAACCGCGGGAGAGGGAAACGTGGGCTTGGGATAAAGCGGTCTTCCTTTCTGGAGGGCTTTTTTTTTAATCAAGTAACGGGCTCGCTACACAAAGTAACGGTTAATAAATTATGGAGTACCTAACTATTTGGTCCATAAGTTTTGATTTTTGACAAATTCGTCTTTTGAGGTCTGGACTTGATCCACCTCGTGATCGATTCGTTCGTTTAATTTGATTTCATATATGAAGTACTAAGTGCTAGCGCTAGTTATCCAAAAGAAAAACAGAAGAGTTACGATAAATGGATTATGAGTGTTCATGTAGAGGAGTTTTATTGATATGTTGGATGAGTTGACGAACTGATTTATGCATGTTAAACCTATACGGTGAGTAATGGGATGATGGCTACTAAACTACATGTTATTTGGTCTAGTTATAAATGGTAGAATTGTGAAAAATTGACGTTCAATGACAAATTTGTTAGTTGTTCTTCAATTTTAAGGATCATTAATTCATGTAAGTTGACTCGTTTAGTAGATAACTCATACATGGTTTACACTAATATTATATACAATGATCTGTAACACAAAATGTGTGTGTCCACACCAAAATAAGTGAAAATAAATTACCAGAAGCCATTGAAACTATTGAACCCCGTCTCGTAACATGTCATAGACCATAAATGAGTAAATCGATATTAAAAACTCCTCACAATTGCATACATAACCACCATATAAGAAGCCATGTACTGAAACTTTGAATAGAAAACTTTACCACTTTTACTCGCATTGAAAGCAAAAGTAGGAATTGAAGAGGATTGATTCTGAAATATTCGTAGGTGTGGTGATGTACGCATTGTTATTGGTATCCATAAATTATAATATTCGAAACTAATCAATTATTGTATACACTTATCCATTCCGATTTTCAACATTCCATTGGCATTTGGATGGGGTTCATTGTTCAAATGATAAGTTTATTTATCACATTGGCGATTTTACCTAGTCTTTGACCTCTCCTTCACTTGTAGTACCTCATTGATTCATTCTTTAATGTTTCGAGTTTCGACCTATATAATAATTGGACCCAAAAATTATTTTTGAGCATCTTAAAATTCCAAACTATCACGTCATTTTTACATTAAAAAAAAACAAGGAGGAACTGTAAGACAAACGATGTCGTGTTGGCCACTACATACCAAAAAAAAAAAAAAACCAGTTTGTGGACAAAAAGGAAATTTCAAGAAGCGAAACTGCGAAAGGACGAAAAAGAGAAAGAAAATACAAATACTTTCCGACCTTCCTTCTTCTCCTGCTTGGCTGCTTAAGCATTGCGCTCTCTCTTCCTCTCTCCCTTTCCAATTTGTAAAGTTTCCCCCTTTCACATTCCACCTGCATCATCATCATCGAACCCTAAAAGTCCTTCCCCAATTTCACCATCTCCTAAACCCTCAGAATCCATCGCCATCGCCGATCAATACCCATTGACTCGCTCTCCTGCGCGGGAATTCGATCGGGTTTCTGATTCATTTTCTGCTCGCGGCGGAAGTGGAATTCGGCGGGTGTGGGGGAAAATTCGGCAATTCCCGATTGTGATTTCTCGTTTTCCCCGCGCGCGCAATCAACACAGTCATGAGCTTTCAAGATCTCGAGGCCGGGCGCCCCTTGGGCGGCGGCGGGAGGAGGGACCGAATGAACGGTAAACAGGATGCCACGCAGGCGGTCGCGTCCGGGATTTTCCAGATCAATACCGCCGTCTCGACTTTCCACCGCCTGGTTAATACCCTCGGCACTCCCAAGGATACTCCTGAGCTGCGCGAGAAGCTGTGAGTTCATCGGTTTTTTTTTGGGGGGGTTTCTTGGGATGTTTGACTTGTGAATATCTAAATTGGGGTTGAATTCTGCGTTTGGCTGGGCTGTGTTAATTGCTTTGCCGCCGTTTCTGGGTACTTAATGATTAATGGATTCAGTAAACTAGGGATGACCTCGTAGGTGCTTGAATTTTCATTAAATGGGAAGGATGCTTTGCCGCCATTTCTGGGTACTTGTCATTTGATACAGTTTTGTTTCTGAGTAGGGATGAATTTTTCGAATTTATTACCATTTCGGGAAGAGTATAGGGTTAGTGCTGGACTCTTAGTTAAAGTGCTCCATCTGATGTGTTAATACTTGGACTTCCTACATTGTTTGGATGTCTTACTCAGACAGTTCCTAACAATTATTGAATTGCAGGCACAAGACAAGATTACACATTGGGCAATTAGTGAAGGATACTTCTGCAAGACTTAAACAAGCAAGTGATGCAGATCACCATTCTGGAGTTGATGTAAGTTTGTCTTCATGATGGGATAACTCCTGAAGTTACTTTTGATATGTTATATTTTTGCTTCTGTAATTTGATTCTGCCACATTTCTTGTTCTGGGAATGGGATTTATGGCATGTTTTATCAATAAGTAGCTACATAAATGGTTGATCGATATTGTTGGTTCTCTTTCCACTTTTTAGGTAGCTAAACATCTTCTGAAATAATGTCTTTGTTTATTGGCTCTCATTCCAGCAACGAAAGAAGATTGCCGATGCCAAACTTGCAAAAGATTTTGAAGCAGTTCTGAAAGAGTTTCAGAAGGCTCAGCGTCTCTCAGCTGAGAGGGAAACAGCTTATTCTCCATTTGCCCCCCATGCAAAAGTTCCTTCCAGGTAATTGTTTTTGGACTTAGCAGAGATATTCACTGGTTTATGCTATAAAACTTTTGTCTTAAGACTTCAGTAGTTTATTAGTTTTGTAGAAGCTCTTGCATGTTCCTTATGGTGCTTTTTTCATATGCCTACAGTTACTCTGCCAATGAGGTAGATGTAAGTTCGGATAAGAATCCGGAAGAACGTGCTCTTCTGATGGAGACAAAAAGGTGAGAGCTGTAATGCTGATTTCTAATTATCCTTTATATAATCTGATGCTGCTGCATTATTAAGCAAGTTCACCATGCTGCTTCCTGTGACTTGTTTACGTTGTGTGGATTATATGGATCAGGCACTCCAGGGATACTGTAAATTATTAGTTCAGTATATAGACCACTAGTTAACACCTTTGCCCGTTGCTTTCCTATATGTTGAAGAAAACCCTGAAAAGGCACTATGTTAAGGATCACTTCTTTGTGACAATCTCGGTCATTTTAGATCTACAGTAAACACTGGTTTCCAGTAATGTTAGTTCGAGTGCTAAATGATGTCCTAATATCTTCAACCAAATACATTGTTCACTAGTTTCGGGTTTAGGAGCGCATGTTGAAAATGAGAATATGCTCAGAACTGTAATTACTGTCCTTGTAATTCAAGCTGAAAAGTTGAGGTTAGATGATTAGTGTAAATTTCTGCTTACTTTAGTAACTGATGTTTCATCTGATGCAGACAAGAAGTCGTGCTATTGGACAATGAGATTGCCTTCAATGAGGCAATCATTGAGGAAAGAGAGCAGGGAATACATGAGATTCAGCAGCAAATCGGTGAGGTGAATGAGATTTTCAAAGATCTTGCGGTCCTTGTCCACGAGCAAGGAACTATGATCGGTGAGCTGCTGATTCCTTCCTCTCTATAAATCTGTTGATATCTTCCTTTTTTGTGTTCTTGGTACTAAAGGATTATGGAAATGGTGCAGATGACATAGGTTCCCACATAGATAATGCCCATGCTGCAACTGCACAAGGGAGACAACAGCTCGTGAAAGCTGCAAAAACTCAAAGATCAAATTCCTCCCTGGTAACCTGTGTTCATACTTCTCTTCCCTCCCATCTTTTATTCTTCTGATTTGTGTCGTAAATTCCTCCCTGCTTAATAATTTCTTTCTTTTCTGTTTTGCAGACTTGCTTACTGTTGGTGATCTTTGGGATCGTGCTCCTCATCGTGATCATAGTGCTTGCAGCCTAATCTTGGTTCTCTGCTCATTCAACGATGATTACATATCTGCATATGTTCAGTTTCCAACAGAAATAGTGATTCTCTGTGGTGAAAGGAGGAAAAGAAAGTGATCTTTTCTTCTTCTGAGAATGTATTTGTTGGTTGATTTCCTTTTCTGAGACGATGGTTGAATGAAAGTGTTGATCTTTTGTGATGCTGGTGGTGGTATATATATTGAGTTCTGTCCTATATAGTAAGATGGTTTGTGTGTTTCTTGGAATCTTTGTTAATTCTTCATACCAAGGAATGATTCTATTGTGCACACTGTTTTCTGGCGACTTCTTTTGATGGTCAAAAGGATGCTTGTTAGTTGTTAGATTGGTTAGAACTTGGAAGTTAGATTGGTTTGAGTTTTGAAAACTTTTAGATTCATGATGGATTTGTTGCATCTTGTATTTGAAAGATAGTTTATTTTTTATTATGAATTTTGTTGGTTTGGTATTTGGATTTCAAATTTTGCTTTTCATAAATTTTATAATGAATTTTTTATTAAATGAAATGTGATATTTGTAGATCTGAAAGTTACATTATATAATTATTTAATGTATTTTCGACTGTCATTTATCAACTAATTTAATCAGTCCATCTGAAAGTTTAGCAATTAGCATAAATAAATAGAAAGGAAGATTTCAAATTAGGAGTATATATTATCGCAACTTCATTTTTCTCTTGGGGTCGTTTGGATAAATAATTGTAACAGATCACTTTGAAGATAATTATATCAATTTCACTCAAAAAATTTGGACGAATCAATTTAAATGAGGTATTTTGAATTTTTTCTTCTTTTCGAGTTTAGTTCTGAGAAACGATGCGTTTCATGTTTTCCCGTTTCTTCTTAGCCATTTCACAAGTATATCAGACGTTTCCAGTTTCCACACCCGCTTCGCGTTCATTCTGCAGCCCGCCGTTCTACTTACTCTCTCGGCCGGCGCCACTTCCTTTAGCTCTTTTCATCGCCACACGCGTCTTAGTCTCCAGAATTTGCTCTCCGTCGCCTTCTCTGGCCGTAACTCTAGTACTGCAATTCTCTCTTCCAGCTGCTAAGACACGCTCGATCTAAGGAGGAATAAGATAATAATAAAAGACCTGACGATGAACAGTAACGGTTCGCCGGCGCACTCCTCAGTCTCCACTACGGCCGTCGTTGGCGGCGGCGGGAGCAGTAGCAGCGCTTTGGAAGATTTCCACTTCCCATCTGATCTCATCTCCATTCAGGATCGCAAAGACGAGGCAATGCTTGGTGCGTTTTTTTTTTTCTTTCTTTCTCTGTTAACAAAATGGGGATTCTAAGATTGTCTAGATTTTGTCAAATCTGCGTTCAAATTGCTGCAACTCACCATCTAGGTCTGCTTATTTCCGCCACGGGAGCATTAGGTCGTGCTTCAGTTCCCCAATCATAGAGGGGGAAATATCCAGCTGATATCTGCAATCTGTCATGGAGTTACTGGTTTTCCCCCTTTCCTCAAATGTGCAGTTCTTGAGCTTACGAAGTGTCTGGTTATCTATATTTGTTTGTGTGTAGCTCTGAAAGCTGATTTAGCAGCTTCACTTAACAAGGTGGTTAGCTCATTGGATGAAGATAACTGGAAATTTGAAGGACCTCGTTCGCGTATAAACCTTGTATCTAGACCAGGTTCGACTCTTCCATTCCACTTTGCCTTCTATTGATTGATTGCTTACTCATTGTGTGATTTAGGCGGAGGGGATATTAGTGATGTCGTATTGGCAGCAAGACATTTAGGGTTAGGAATAGGCTGGCTGTTCAGTTGATCTTAAAATGGACACTCGTTTTGCGTTATGAAAAGTTACGGGAATTCCAGGTATTTATGTGATCAAATGTGATGTATTCTAGAGTTTGTGGTTCCAGGAAGCTTGTAATTCATTCCTTTTGAGAAGTTTGTGTATGGGAGCAAGTTTTAATGAAGTGTTGTGCATTGTAGAGTAATTCGTACATACTTACCAGTCAGCACTCACCATCTTACCTCGTTGTATGTTTGAGTTCCAGAGTTCATGAATTTGGTGCACCGATATGTTGTAAGATCTGATGTTTTGTGCAGTTGAGCTCGTATAGATATGTAAATACTCATACAACTGAATTTAGATTAGCAGTCAGGGCGATTGTTCTTGTTGTAGGTTGGCATTGTTATGTTACCTGATGGTGATTGTTATGAGTGACTTTTGACAGCCCCTCTGGGATCTTTTGTGTTCTCTGTCAAACTGTTAATGATCTGCTGAAACGAATTCCAAATATCAGGTGGGTTTCTGAACAAGAAGATCGAAGCAACGAAGAAGTAGGAACTTCTGGGCTGGGAGAGTGACTCGGAAAGTCTACCCAGAAAGGTGGCTTTCTGGGGGGAACTTTTATACCTCTTCTGTTAGCATTCGATTGCATCTCAGATATGCCGTTTTCTAATAAATGAACATTACAGCATGAGATGCTTGGCTTGCTTCTGGTTGAAGGGATTATGCGACGTGTGCCTTGTACTCAAATCACCCGATTATATGTTTATGGATATGGTTGAACTTGTCTCAAACACATTATAGGTGCTGCTGCCATGGTTATATATGATGCGACCAACTCACACCATTATTATGTTCAGTGTCATTTGGCCTTTGATAAACGGCTGCAAAGTTCTTCACTTGTAAAAACAAATAATCAGCAAGTTGAAAGCAAATTCTTTAGTTCAAATCTTTCGAGTAAAAAAGAAAGTAGGTTTCCGGATTATTCAGATCTAAATCGAGTCATATGTACGGATCATTGTCATCTCATATGTAAGTTTTGTTTTCTCTTGTAGCCACATAAAAAAAACGGGGCGACATAATAGAAATTAGTTGAAACCAATGAAAATAATGTTTATGGAAAAATGGATTACATTTATGCTAAAATCGGTACTCATTAATTAAAATAAGCAACTAAATGCATTTATGGTATTGATTTTCAAATTTCCAGGAATTTCTAGAATTGTGGACATAACATGTTTTTCCAGTTTTATTGGCGTTTAGGTCCTCTCTGTTGTCACAAGACAATGAAAACACAACAAAATAACTACAATAATACTAAACGGGACCTTAGTCTCGCTAATAGTTCGGTCAAAAGATCAGCACCAATGGCAGAGCGGGGCCAACACCTCTAAATTTAATTATGACACTAATCTAGCCCTTCATGTATGTGTTTATGGTGAAAATTTCAAATAAATCATTTGGATACATTACAATTTCGATGATAATTGACAATAGAGTTCATACCTCTTCAGACAATATTGACATAAACAGTTTTGGAAACGGCAAACTATCTACCACCTCGTAACCTCTTACCAATCAGTCCAAATAACCAAAAGAAAGACATAGATTGAGACATTATTTTAAGGACTCCTAGTTCTCCCCGTAACAAACAGTCACAATCCAACTTCTCCCGGGCAGTGGAGACACACAACCAGACATTTCCAAGAATAATGTCATCCACCATTCCCACATTTGCTTCAATATAAATATACCTTCTTCATATTCATCACTCATCATTCAATTCATCCCCATCACAACTACACAGTCTCCCTCTCTCTTCTAACAAACCAACATCCCAAAAACACCTCATCATGTCTCTTCCAGCTATGACGATCATCATCTCCGTCGTAACGACGACTTTACTGATCGCCAGTACCGCTTGCGGCTCCCAACTCCAGGTCGGGAGCCCCAAAGTACAATACATCGTGACCAACAACGCCAACCACACCCTGGGCGGGGCCCGATTCAACAAGCAGATCGGGCCCAACACCGCGGCCCAAATACTCTACTCCGCGACCAACTTCACATGGGCCGTGTTCGACCAGGCCAACAACCCACTGGACCGGAAGAACATAACCTCGATCACCCTCCTCATCGAAGACATTGGGGGGAACAACGGCAGCACCGCCGCGGCGGCGCAGACCAACAAGACCACCATCCACGTCAGCGCCAACTACATCGGGAACTACGCCGCCAACCTGCGGCGGCAGTTCAGCGGGACCATCTACCAGGAGGTCGCCGCCATCTGGCAGTGGAACGGCAAAGGGCAGGCGCCGGCGGGGCTGGTGACCGGGATCGCGCACTACGTGCGGCTGCAGGCGCGGTACGGAACGGTGGAGAAGGTGAAGCCCGGGGACGGCGACCGGTGGGACCAGGGCGGCGGCGTGACGGCGAGGTTTCTTGTGTACTGCAATCAATTGAAGAAAGGGTTTGTTGGGCAGATGAACAGGAAGATGAGGCACGGGTATACTGATGGGTTCTTTCTGGATTTGCTTGGGAAGCCGGTTGATCATCTGTGGAGCAATTACAAGGAGAGGTACGGATTGGAAGCAAGAACTCATCGTCGTCACCATGAGTAGTTGATTCTTGATTGTGCTCTGTTGTGCGATTATTACAGGGGTTTTGTCGATCGGAATTTTGGTGATTTCTCGTTTATGGTGTGTGGTTTGGGAAGTTTTGTTTTAGCACTTTGTTTACTTTGAAGAAGTATGATCAGTTTTGGAATGCTGGGATGTTGAAGTAATTCGGTTTTCTTTTTTTTGGGAATGGAAGTAGAATGTCTGAATTTTTGTTACGAAACCATATATCAATTTTCTGAGTTTGAAATGTTTGTATGATTGCTTTCGACAGTGGTCACTACTGGTCAATGATAGAACTATTTGTGGAAAGGCACAGTCAGCAGGTGTCAAATGTGTTAAACACAACACAAGGTAGACTCCTAATTTTATTGAAACAAGAAAAGGATGAAATGCATGAAAATCATTTAGGATTTATATTTTTAAGAGTTTAGAGTTGGAAATACATAGTATGCGCTTATATTTGTGATTTCACTTCGAACTGGTGGCTTTTTTGTAATCTAGCTATCCTAAGAATGAAGGGTAAATATTTGCCGTCTATGCATTTAAAGTAAATCTGTACCGACAATGAGAGTTTGCGGAGCTCCTCCTGATAGACGTTCTTCACAAAGTTGAAGTCCACTTTGCGAAATTCAAGATTACTGTTTCATCTTGAGTCATGGCTTGCTGGTCGGATTCAGAGTAAACTTCGATGCAATACCTAACAAGTGGTCTGGGGATACATTTCCAGATGGGCAGTTTGAGGGAAAATTCTACTTTCTTCTTGAATAATGAAGAGGTTTCGTGATCATGGAGAATAAACTCTAGAGTTTTGGTTGCTAAGCTTGAAGCTTCATCCGATATGTCTTCTCTATGGATCCCCACATGTGTTGTCTCATACAACCTCAACAATCCTTGCACATCCAATGCCAATAATTCTTTGAACTTTCCTTCGTCATCCTTGAACCTTCAACAAATGTTTAAGTTAAATGTGAAGTACAAGTGATTAAGGTCATGAGTGTACAGACTTTAAGTCTACAAAATATATAATGGCAAAACATGGGTTGGAATTCTTCCATTTCAAGTTTCGTGGCCTGAGAGTGATTTTAGGAAGATTATTTTTGTCATTGCACCCATTTCATGTTTATATATTAATAATGTTATCATTAGAGTTCAAACCTTGGTCACTTGAATGAAGAAATAGCATGATAATCAACTAGGCTACATTTCATTTATTGTTATTTCTTTGATTGAACTCTAGGAATATGTTTGGTGATGATGCTTCTATATTTATATTTTATCTTAAGCTATTTATATTTTATAGAAAGAAATTGGAACTCAAGTATTATTGATTCAAACATTAATATTAAATTGTATGGTAAATACAATATATTAGCCACAACTATTATGAAGCGGGGAATTATAGCCACAACTATGTAAATTCAAATTATTAGTCATAATCATTGTTTCGAGTCAAGATATGGCTAACTGTCCGTTACTATTATTGAATTTTTAACGGAGAAGGCCACGTCATCGGCCACGGCGGCAACCATGTTGTACTGCTTTTAATTTATAACTTTAAAACATAAAACTTTAGTCAGCATTATTAATGGAATTGTTAACAGAGAGTTAACGTTTGGCTAAGAATTTGAATTTTCATAGTTGTGGCTATAATTCCCCGCTTCAGAATAGTTGTGGCTAATATATTGTATTTACCCTAAATTGTATTTGTTGTTTAGTTCAGACAAAATAAAGAAGTTAACCAAAACATGGACCTTTTTGACGAGTATAATCATTTTTTGTGACAAATCTACCATAATATAATGATAAAATTGGAAAATAGTGTCTCATTTCGAATTTCGTGGCCTGAGAGTGCTTATAGGAAGCTCTTTTTCGTCATAGTGTGCAATTTATCTTTATATTATGTATAGATTTGTGACAAAAATAACTATATTTGTCACAAAGATCCATGTTTTGGCTACACATATGTATTTTGTCTAAACTGAACCACACATACAATTTATTATTTAATAATTGAATCAATGTTACTTGAGTTCCAATTTCACAATTAATCACTTTCTATAAGATATAATAATTTCAGGTAAAATATCTTTCCTACTTGGTTGAAGAAGCTCTTCTATAAGATATATTCAATGTTTTAAGATTTTCTATTTCAAATTTTGTGAAGCGAGAGTGAAAGTAGGAAGAGTATTTTTCTCTTCAAACAAAAAAAAAATCACAACCAATGACACTAAACAAATCTGTTTTATCTTCATAAATTGTAAACATGCACTAAATGAAGATTTGAAAAGAAGAGGACTTTTCACGGTTAGATAGCTTATTAAATCTTTTGAAAAGCAAAGTTTAATATGTGATTTATAATTTTTATAACCTATAAAATGACGGGTAATCTTAAAATTGCAACATAAATTTTATTGCTTGAAATATTGCATATCGAACTGCAATATTGAATATGCAAAAGTGATGTAGAATTCTGTAAATTAATATGAATTTTCAGAACTAATACGAAACCATAATATTTTGTACACACTATAGGTGACTGGTTCTAAATTTTTTGCTTGGTTAAATGTTAAACGTTAAATTCTTGCTAATCGGGCATGAATGGACCCGACAATAATGAGACGATATCTAGTTTAATGTGATGTTTGTTTCGTTAGTTTTGGATCGAATATGTTGATCAATTTATAGGGCATGAACATATAAATGAGTTATAATTAACCTCATTATACAATTTTTACTCTTTATAATAATTAATTTATCTTAATATTTGCGATGTTTGAAATATTTTATGTATGATTTAGAGGTATAATTATTATTTGTGACATAAGTTGTAATTTATTCAAATGTGGTATTTCATCAAGTAGCCAAAATCGTATACTGAGTGCATTTATGACTGTTTTTATCTAGGTGTGGTGAATAGGTAGAAACTTAATTATTATAATGCATATAATTATACCTAGGCACATGGTCGAGCTAGCACGACACAGTTAGAGCATATCATGAAGACAATGTATATGGATCGGCCATGTACAAGCATGAATACTTCATGGGTCGTACCAAACTTAAACTTCAAGGGCTCTCGCACAAGTGCGAGCACCACACAACCTATATTGGTGAACACATGTTTTCTGGAGAAATGCGTCATTTGATAACAAATAAAACAAAATTTTCTAAAAATAACGTATAAAATTTGAATTAATTAGTAGTTTTCACATCAACGTGTGACGGCTCATATTCTAAAAGGTTTATAAAATACATTCATTGTTTATTTTGAGATTCAAACCTTTTTCAATGTATACAACTAAAAATTCATTTATAAAATCATTCTTGATTATCTTCATAGCTGAAAAATCTTTTTACAGCTTGCAGTAATAACAAACAACGTCAACAATAACTTTAGAAGCAAGTAAAGTGAAAAATAAATTGGGATTTAGTATTTCTTTGCAAATGTGTGTGGTGGTGGTGGGTGGGGGGGGGATTTTTTTGTCTAAAAAATTTGAGCAAGGGTTGAAACTCATATATAATTTCTTTGAATATTTAATATTGAATTGGAGTATTGAACATTTTGGAAGCGATATATAATTCTTAAATTAGTATTAATTTTCAGTCCGGTTGACCAATAACCTTAGACCTTTTGTTAATCTGACATGGATCCAATAATCATAAGATGAGATTTAGTTTAATATGGCTTCAGTTCAAAACCTTTTTCTATGTGTAATGAATTTGTACGACAAATACATGTAAAGTGAAGATGAATCTGGTTATGCATTTTGATTCTTTAGATAAATACAATGGTTTAAGGCTTTAAGCGATGAGCTAACTATACACTCACTCGATAGGTTTAACGGGTTCTGCTTTTTATCACTTTTATATAATTAGTTTATTCACAAGCTATCAAGCTACTTTTCTCCGTTGATGAATAAGCGACCATCATTCGCCAGGTTTCAGGTGCTCTGATTCACACTATTGATTGTTAATCGAGAAAAAGCATTTCGAACGTAAAATTGGAGAAGTAATTGGGATGTTTATAGGTTTCTCTCGATTCCAAGCGGTGGGAAGAAAGAGGAAGGGAAAAGGGGGTGAGTTGTGAGATACAAAGCTGAGAGAGAGATGGAAAAACAAGGAGAAAGACAAAGAAAGAGTGAGAGGACATTTAAAAGAGGTGGAAAATTAGGTAGTGTGAAATAATTGTCCTTCTGCTTTGAATACTGGATATTCTTGGCCCTATTCTGTTGAGTTTTGATTTATTTTAGAAGATAACATTATATTTGACATATTTTTTCCATTTTAATTTAAAATACTAAATCAAAATTATCGTTTGGAAGATTTTCCTTAATACTATTATTGTAATTTCTGATATTTAAGGGGTATTTGATAATGTCAATATTTTAGTGGTTTTTTATTTAAAGTTTGTACTGAAAGATCGTACATACCGGTGATTAGACCATAAAACTTCACATCATAGGCTAAATCGATAGGTGATATTAGCAATATGAAACGGTTGAACCACAGTTAAATTATGACTTCAGTATAAAATACTCTACTACCAACTTTTTCTATACGATTTTACAATCATTTGGTTTAAACAATTCTTTTACACTCTTGGAAACAAAAGTTTTAAGACACATTTTGAACTATCTATTGCAACATAAGTCAGTTAGCGATAATGAGAATATGTAATCTCATGCAACCCAAAAGACACTTTGCAACTTCTATCTTTTTAAAATAAATGTATGCTACTCATACCCTCGCTCATTCATCAACTTAATGAGTAACATATATTTCAAGTAATATTATTTTCATATATTTTTATTTATTGAATTATTTCATGAAAAAAATATTTGTTGCATGACAATTACTACTTTGTTGTTAGACATGTCTGCGATCTGAGAATAATTTGAGAAGTTTGTACACAACACATTGTCCAACTAACTATTAGTGACAGCTTAGCATCATGTCCTATATATTTCAAATCAAGCAACTTCATATTCATTACCAACGGTGTGGTAAAAAAGAATGCTCTCTATTGGGAAAAACTTAAAGGACATAATAAACTCTATGAGACATTTTCTTTCATCCTAAAGTTTGATTATGTATGTATTATGAGAAACAACTCTAATACTCAACTATATGGTTTAGTTAAGTATTGAATGACAATTAGTAATATTTTTTTTTCATTCAATAATTATATGTAATGCTTATATTATATTTTTTTCTCTTTTCATGGAGGTCTAAAGTCTAAACATATTGTGCATAGTTCGATCACTTTCAAAAATGGTATGTGCATAACTAAGGTAGAAAACAATCATTTCATCCATTTCAAATCATCTATTATATCCATTATTATATATCATATTCCTCGACAAAATTCTTCCGGCCAACGGGCCGGCCCCTGTGCTAGTTCAATGAAAAGGCATCGTCTCATTTTTTTTTGCCTCTACAAAGAAACCCTATGACAATTGATATTTTTATATCTTTTTTTATTACAATTCAAATTATTGGAAGGAGTCGATTATTGAACATATATGATAGTTATACAATTATTTCTATTTCTCGATGTAATTATATTAACATAATGTTTCATATTAAAAACATTTGATATTATTTCATAACACATGCACACATATTCAGAGAAACACGAAATACATGTCGCCTGAGGTGTGGAAACCATATATAGAACAGCATGATATACATATCGATCTTGCCATACTTTTCAATGAATGACTCTCCTCCTAGAATGTAGACATTTTCAAGAGACCATACCCTTTTCAAAGAGTGACTTGATCTGCAGTAGTAGTAGACACTGATGATGATGCTCGCAGAAGCAAACTATGATCATAGTTCATGTGACCATGCTTCAATGTGCCCCTGACCTCCTTGGTGATATAGCTTGATTTGTCCCCTTACTCTTTAATGTATCATAATAAAATCATCATAATATAGTGATTAAGTTATATTGGGATATGAATTAATATGAGTACACGATTATAAACAGGCTCAAAACCACCGCAAGGCGTTCCGAGCCCAAGCCCACTTAAGGAGGCCAAAGCCTCCAAGCCAAAGGATTCTCTCCTTCCCTTCCTCACTTCCCCCTAAGGTCTCTCTCTACCTTACCTCTCTACATATCATACTCTCTCCTATATCGTACTAACTTGGACATCAAAGCGTAAATCCAGAAGGCCGCCCCCCGCCTCACAAGTTCATCCACTCCCGAGAAGATCAGACGAAGGAGTCAAAATCGGAGCCTCATAACCGCCTAGTAGATTCTAGGCTCAAACAAGTTATATAAATTTTTGTAAAGTTTCCACCCCGTGAAAAGAAATTAAGGAAAATGGATGAGAGATGATCAGGGCATGCAATAAGAAATGAGAATGTGTTGGACTGCAATCAAAAGATTCCTCTTTCTTTGTTTGGTTAACTCAAAAGATTCCTCTGTGTTGTCTTCACTCTTCAGTTATTCTAAAGGTCGCAGCAAGTTTCCGGGCCGACTATATCTCTCTATTCTTTGCTACTTCCAGGCAGCCTTCGAATGAGCATATAGCTTTGAATGATGCTCATCTAACGGACGTAATTCAAGTCAACCAACCTACCATTACGATAATCAATCATCAACAAAACCTGCTGTCACCATGAAGGCGATATATCGACAAGGTTAGGTGGATGATGAACTCTTCCTAACGAACCTAGCTCTAGCACTACACATAATGTGCAAAAGCTTTGCCCTTTTGTTCATAAACCGAAAACACAAACACTAGCTAAACAATATGGTAGTTGTTGTGGCGCTACTCCTTCTCCTGGCCACGGTCTTCACTACGGCCGTGTCTTATTACGCACTCCCAACAAGAAAGAACAATCTTCAACGCAAAAACCCACCACGGCCACCATCCCCGCCGAAACTTCCCGTACTTGGAAACCTCCACCAAGTCGGGAAGTTCCCATACCGAACCTTCGCCAGGTTGGCGAAGCAGTACAACGCCCCTCTCATGCTGTTCCGCTTCGGCTCCAGGCCGATCATGATCGTCTCGACGTCCGAAGCTGCCCGCGAGGTGATGAAGGTGCACGACCTCATCACCTCCGACAAGCCCACATTCCAAACCGGAAACAGGCTTCTGTACGGTAGCAGGAACATCGCCAGCACTCTCTACGGGGAGTACTGGCGGCAGGCCAGAAGGCTCTGCGTCCTCCACCTCCTCAGCAGCAGGAAGGTCCGAGCCTGCTGCGAGGTGAGGGAAGAGGAAGTCGGGTTACTGGTCAATCGGATTAAGCAGCACCATCACCACCAGCATCAGAGAGCGGGTGGTGGTGCGACTGCTGTGAACCTGAGCGAACTCCTTTCCCGCCTCGCCAACGACGTCATCTGCAGGATGGCGTTCGGGAGGAAGTATGACGGCGGAGCTAACGGCGGCTTCAGAGATCTGATGGTTGAGTTGATGTCGGTTTTGGGTGCTTTCAACGTGGGTGAATTCATCCCTTGGCTGTCATGGGTGAACCGGGTCACCGGGTTTGATGCCCGGGTCGATCGAGTTGCTCGTCGGTTTGACGAGTTTCTCGAAGGAACCGTCCTGGAGGGCGAGGCCCGTTTAGAGAAAGACGGCAACAAGAGCGCCGATTCCGCAGGTGTGATAGGAGATACTCAAGCACCCTTCATAGATATCTTACTGCACTTTCAAAAGGATAGCTCTGAAGAGTTCCAGCTCGAAAGAGACGAGGTCAAAGCTATCATCATGGTATTTACACTCTTCTATACTATTTATTAGATTCATGAAATGATTTTGATTGCTAATGACTATAGCATCAGATTTTGATTATTATATGGATGTTGTTGGGTACATATGATGTTAGATTAGATCGATAATTAACTTAAATCATCGTACTCAATTAATTTTTTCCCACAGCCTAATAGCTAGTTTTCACGTTGATTATAATTTCTCTTGATTAAAATGATCAGGACATGTTCTTGGGAGGAACCGATACGACATCGACCCTTATGGAATGGGCTATGTCCGAACTAGTGAAGCACCCCAGGGTGATGAAGAAGCTGCAAGAGGAACTGAGGAGCAAAATAGGCCGGGAAAACGAAACAATTTGTGAAGCCGACCTGGACAGACTTGACTACTTGGCCCTGGTGATCAAAGAGACGATTCGATTGCACCCTCCGATCCCGATGCTGTCTCCGAGGCGATTGATGCAAGACACGACAATGTCGGGGCACGATGTGTCGGCGGGGACCATGATCCTAACAAATGCCTGGGCAATCGGAAGGGACCCTGTGGACTGGCCCGAATCACCGGAAGAGTTCTGGCCCGAGCGGTTTCTCAATACCAGCGTGGATTTCAGAGGCCAGGATTTCCAATTGATACCTTTCGGCGCCGGAAGACGAGGCTGCCCTGGAATTTCGTTTGCTCTCGCGGTGGTGGAGCTTGCGGTGGCTAATCTGGTGAGGAGCTTCGATTGGGAGCTGCCGGATGGAGTTGCAGGGGAGGACTTGGATATGTCTGAATCTGTTGGTATTACCGCGCATAGGCGGCTCCCGCTTCTCGCCCTTCCCACCATTGTGTTTTGATCATGCACGTAGTAATTGACCAATACAAGCATATTGAACTTTAAATGTGGAAAAATATAGACCCAGAAGGCCATCATTCCAAGCTAATTTACCCCCAAAATTCATTGGGGTTAGTGGGTTGGGTTAAGAGGGTTTATGCAAAACTATCATTTCCTACCAACTCAACTCTCACTGGAGTAAATCATTAGCAACTCGATATCGTCGAGAGTGAATCAGGTGTCTATCTCTAATCTATATAATCGTACATATAATCTTCATAACCTCTTGTCGTACCAATATCCTCTTGTCGTTATCGAATGTAATAACTTTAAAAAAAAAATGTTCGGTGGCTAATTCTACAAATGCCCTACGGATGAGAGTGATGAGTCATAACACGTCCCTTTCATCCCTTCTTTTTTAAAATAAACTGGGACCACCCACAGCGACTTGAATATAATTTCAAATTAGATAACATACATAGATCTAGATCACGAGCACTTCTACTATGCTATATAGCATTGGTACTTTAATGTACAACTCAAAGTTGTACCATAACATTAAATGTATAAGTTTAGGTTGTACCATAAAGCAATTTGTACCATTATGTTATGGTACAACTTTACAACTTGAAGTTGTACCATCACATAAAGGTACAAGTTCAAGTTGTACCATAAAAGAATTTGTGCAAAAAGTATAGGTACAATTTGAAGTTGTACCATAACGTAAATGTACAATTTTAAGTTGTACCATAAAGGCAAAAACCTATAGCACCAATACTATATAGCATTGTAAAATTTCTAGATCACTTAATTAAAAAACAAAGATAGCAAGTAATAGAATACCAGTCTGACGGAAGACCTTCTAGCAAGAGTTATGGGTTCGCTAAAAAGATAATAATTAGCACGGGCGCTTCCGATTATTTATTTTTACTTTTCAATTTGCGCTCCTGGTTCCATTTTATCATTTGCATGTTTTGAAATTTTCACTAAATTGGATTATTAGTTAAACAGAATTATAAAATTCTGATTTTTGGAAATTCTGATTATTAGTGTCAAGCTCAAAACACTTTTTTGAGGAAATTCTAACCCCAAAATTTGTACTTTTGGAACTTAGCATTAAAATGGTCTTCCTGAATGATGAATTATTTATCGCTGCCGCGACCGAAAACCCGACACCGCTCTCTCTTTTCTTTAGTCCTTGCTTTCTCTTTCCCGTCGCCTAAATTTCTCTCGCGAACGATTCGTCAAACAGCTTTCTGTCAATCGCTACCTGCCATGGATTCCTGCACGAAACCCTAGTCAATCCCTCTTTCTTCGATCTCCGATCAATCCAGCCGTTGCCGTTTGAACGATTTAGGAATGGACGGGGTAGTCCAAAAAGGAGATGGTCCAGGCGCTTCCACCAGCGGTGGAGGAGAAGGAGCGACCGCACCGGTAGTGCCGATGACGGCGCAGTCGAACGCCCCGCCGCCGTTCCTCAGCAAGACGTACGATATGGTGGATGACCAGGCTACCGACTCCGTGGTGTCGTGGAGCTCCACGAACAACAGCTTCGTAGTGTGGAATCCGCCGGAGTTCGCTCGCGACCTGCTACCTAAGTATTTCAAGCACAACAACTTCTCCAGCTTCGTTCGGCAGCTCAATACATACGTATGGAGATTCCGAATCTTCTATTAGCTTGTGCTTCGTTCTTGCTTTATTTATGTGCAATTCGTTTCTCGTTTCTCTTGTTGATTGGGCCGAGTTCTTTGAGAGGCAGTTCTTCTGTTTGGGTAGTCACAGTTCTATTCTTCTTATTGAGGCTTCTTCACTGCCATGTTTCTCATCCTGTGCTGTTGTTAGGCATAGCTCTAGGATCCTTTAGTAAGAATCTTGTTCTGGATTTGCTTGCATTACCACAAACTTTCTTAGCTGGCGTTGTGTGCCAGAATGTGTGGAGGGACGCAGTGCGATCCCCCTTGGTTTGGTTAAGCAACTTTAGGTTCTGTGGGATAAGAGAAGGTTGTGAACTTTTTCGGTGTAAGTTTTGTGGGATAATGGTGATGCAGAAACAGTAGTTGAACATCAAAATTGAATCAAAGAATTTGGTAGATAGTTAGTATGATAACTGTGGATTGAGGCCGTTTCCTTCATACAAGAGCTTAAAAGATTGTTTTATTCCACTTTTTTGGTCTTGTCAGCATCAGCAGTCAAATGAACAAGAAATGACAGAATGAAGTAAAAAGAAACCGCCTATCAGGTTTACTACAACCTGATAGAGAAATAATTTTAATTGTTTTTACTCTCCACTCAAACAAGGCATTGACTGTTGTTTTCCAGTGCCTTCATGCTTCGGGCAGGAAGACCTCGGAAGATATCATCTGAACAATAGTCTCTTAATGTGAGTACTCGAGACATTGAGCTTAACCTTTTGATTTGATCTCTTTAATATCATGTCAAAGTTACTTCTAACCAACTAATGGGTTACATAGGTCCTAATTTGATGGAACCTTGGTGAATACAAAACACTGCTGTCTGATGTTTAGGATCAGTTAGATTTACGATTCTTGTAGGCTAAATCATTGTTGTGGTAGATAGTGCAGAAGAGAGTTATTAAGTTATGAGCTTTGGTCAGGGTGATTGAAGATTGAGAGTCAATACAAGTTGTGGACTAGAAACTAAAACAAAACACTTTCATTTTAGAAAATTCAATTAGAAATCTGATTGTCAGTCTGGTGTTTTCTACATTTACAATGTTGTCCCGTATATGTAGTTATCTGGTGTATGTTTAAAATCAATTTTTCTCTTGAAGTCATAACATATCCAATTGAATGGTAATTCAGTATCAGTAGAGCCGCATGAATGCTGACCTTTTTTTGCAGCAATTGTGGCTCTCTAGTCTAGTGAATGTTTTGCTTTGGTTCTCCTATGGTTTTCTGCTCTCCATTTGTCTTGTAAAGGGAAATGTAATCAAGAACCTAGAGACTATACAAAATCCAATTTATGTTTTGACTTTTGAGCTTACTTTATTTTTGCAACTTTTTATCTAACAATTTCATCTCACTGCTATGCTTACATACAACTCTTCTGTCTGGCAATCTATATGACCTCTTGAGTAGCTTTCTGAGTGACCAACAGAGTTCAAACTAACTAAATAAAGAATCTTTGCATCCCTCCCCTCCCCTGTTATGCTTGGAATAGTTTCTTTCTGACTTTCACTGCATTGGTGTTTAAGATATATCTTACTATTAGAAGTTGTTTGTCCACTTTCAGATATTTCAGTGTTATGTTGATCTTTTCTATATGTATGGAACAGATCAGCCATTCAATCAATCATTGTGCTCTTTGACTTCCCAAGTGCTATATCTTATTATAGCCATATACCAGTGTAATATCAAATATGTGTCATTCTTTGACTTATTATGGTCTGTTCAGCTTATTTGAATATCCACATGGTAGTTTTGGATGGATGCTTCTATAGGATAATTAAAACTTGTTTGGTTGTTTGAGGATCAGTTTTTGAAAAATATAAGATATTCGAAAGACCTGGGAGAAATGTTAAGTTTAATAATTTGGAATACCATCATTTGTTTGGGTTAGCTCATCATGTGTGATTGTTGTTGAAGTTGTTAGTGCTCTTGTGGTGAATTAGTTTTTCTCTTGTATAGTATTGTGAATGAGGATAATATTTTGAAGGGAAAAATAACTATTTGTTCTTGCTGTACCACTTTAGTGTTCGGACTTGTATGCTCTTGGGAGGCAGTTCAGCCTTTGGTTGGCCAAATTTGTACTTAACCTTAAGGTTCTTTTATTCCTTCCCCCATGGTAACAAGGTTCTTTTTTTCTTTATTCACTTTACCTCAACTTTTTATGTGGAAATCCATAACAAACGAGATTTGTGGCCTTTGTTGTGATTACATTTTATGATACATTCCTCTTGACAACCTAAATCAGTGTACAACTTGTAAAATATGTTAGCGAAACCAACTGAAAAGTGTCAGCTGCAGCAGTTAGGGGATTTTGCAGTCAGCTGAAATATCTTAATCCTCCTCTTAAGAACATCTGTATCTGTTATCTGTTCTTGTAATTCGGTTCCTTTTATTTACTGGAAGATGAATGTGTGAGATAGAATAGAGGCTTAATTATGTCCACGAAGTCCAAGGAAGAGTCATTTTTACAGTGGTTACACTGGGAAGATGAATTCCATGTATTTGCTTGACTTTTTTTTAGAGTAACACAGTATTACCTGAAATTACCTTTTCACTTTCTTGTCTCTATATATTGACAGGGCTTTCGAAAAGTAGACCCAGATAAGTGGGAATTTGCAAACGAGGGTTTCTTGAGAGGGCAAAAACATCTCCTTAGGACCATAACCCGGCGGAAACCAGCACATGGTCACAGCCAGCCACAACCCCAGCCGTCTCACTCCCAGACCTCATCTGTTGGTGCTTGTGTGGAGGTTGGGAAATTTGGGCTTGAGGAAGAAGTTGAGCGCCTCAAAAGGGACAAAAATGTACTTATGCAGGAACTTGTCCGGTTGAGACAGCAGCAACAGGCTACCGACGGACAGTTACAGACCATGGTGCAACGTCTTCAAGGAATGGAGCAGCGACAACAGCAGATGATGTCGTTTTTGGCAAAAGCTATGCAGAGTCCTGGGTTCTTGGCCCAGTTCGTACAGCAGCAAAATGAGAATAATCGGCGTATATCAGAGACCAACAAAAAACGGAGGCTCAAGCAAGATGGGGCGACAGAGAATAATGAGCCTTCGACTGTTCCTGATGGCCAGATTGTTAGGTATCAGCCATTGATGAATGAGGCGGCGAAAGCTATGATCAGGCAGATCATGGAAGTGGATTCGTCTTCGAGGTCAGTATCATATAGTGCAATTGGGTGTCTTTGTGTTTAGCTTTTCTTTATAGTGTTGCTTGTTTCTTATGTCTCAGTAAAAACTGTTTAGAATTTTAGAAAATGTTGAGTTGATGGGATATGAGTTGTTTTAGTGATAAAAAGGCAATTGATCAGATATTAGATAGTTTGTTTCATTATATAGCGATCAGTGGTTTTTTTATTAAAACCTTAAGAATAAGTCATAATTGCAAAATGGCAAAGTTCGAAGTGAACTTCAGTTAATGAGGTGACCTTAGATTTTGAAGTTTGGTAGTCTGTGGAGGTTTTCCTGAATAGTTATGCGAAGTTTAAAGAAGTTTGTTTGTTTCGGCTTCTAAGTTGCACTTCTTTACAAGCACAAACTTTCTTTTTTTTTTTTTGCTTCAGTGCATTGGACAATGGAAACTCTCCAGCCCGTATATCAAGTGTAACTCTCCAAGAGGTTTCACCAGCCTCTGGACTCTCAGGGCATACTGCAGTTGCCATGGTGCCTGACATACAATCATCTCCTCCGATTACGACTTGTGAAAATGCTACTGCCGCATCTCAGTTCCCAGAGGCAGCTTCTATTCCCATGATGCCGGAGCTTTCTCAAATCCCCGAAATGGTTCCCCAATGTACAAGTGATATTCTGGGGGACGATTACATGGAACCTGATACAGGAAACAGTTGCTTTATACCATCATCGGGAGATATGCCGACATTCGATCTGAGTAACATACATCTTTATCCCGACGACAATCTTGATGCGTTGCTGGCTTGGGATGACTTGATCATGCAAAGCCAGGTTCCTGATGATATCGAGTCGAGTTCAATGGATGCCAATACCGAACATATGGATCAGTTGACTGAGCAAATGGAGCTTCTCTTGCCCGAGGCCAAGAAGCTGCTTTAGTAAGTTTTTTACCACTGGTCCATCATGGCTTTCCCCTAATCCTCAAAGGTAAAATAGTTTACAACTCGCTTGCTCCGAGGGTACAGCCATTAGAGACCTCTTGTACTGTTTTTACCCCTTGTGGCTAGTCAATTCTGTACATATAGAAGAAAGATGGAAAAGTTTCAGCCTTACTCGTATATTTTTACTAATTTGCCTCTCTTACCCTAATCATTTTCAGTACGCCAGAATCTCGGCACGAAAATAGAACCCCCTAAGTAGGTCTTGAATTCTTGCTCTCTTTTGTTCCTTTCAGACTTTCATTGAGTTTGCAAGTTTTTGAGTCAGAATTAGCTCTCTGCTATCGTCCGTGTAAGTTTGCTGGAAATTATTTCTTTGTAAAGTGGAGTTGGACCTGAATGTGAATTCATCTCTTATTAGGAGAATAGGCGTGATTTGGATCGGTTTGGGTCTTTGTTAGTTTGGTTTTCGGTATTAAAATTTTGAGCCCTAGTTCTGGGGTTGGAATAGGGTTACTAAGCATTGGTTTGTTTTCAAAGGAGAAATAGGGCTCGAAATTCATACCTCTTGGTTCAAACAAGCAAAAACCAAAGTGCTTACGGGCTATTAGGAAATGAGTTATGTTTATGTCTGCTTTTTCGTGTTTTTAGTCCATTTGTTAAAAGTTTGGTTTGAGTTGGTTATTAGTGCGATGTGTGATCAATCCATGTTTGGAAAGTACTTCCTTGTGGTGACTTGTATATCGAGATAATTTGTCTCCAGCTCATCGATTTTCGCCGCGTTATACTCGTAGTGATGAATGTGATGCAGGAAACAGGAGAGGTGAGATTTGAGAGTCAATTTGATGGGTAAAGCCAACTCATTCACATACATTATTCACAAAGTTGCTAAGTATCAATTGTTATTGTTAATAATATGCTCAGAAGACCGTTTTGACGGAGATCATAATGAAAGTTCTAGTTTATTCGGATCAAAGATGTCTTCGTTCAAATTTTTGGTACGCCGATTTGTTAAAAATTAAAATGACATGGTCAGGTCAGACTAATGTTGTAAAACCAATAACCATATCCATATGTATTCTAAAAAAACATTTATATTTGTTTTTCTATAGGATTATTGGGTGTTGTTCATTTAACCGAATCGTGTATGAGTTCTTGCTTTTAAACGATCACAAAACCAAACTTTATTTTTTAGCAATTCCCTTTGTTAAACAAAACTATCTCCTCCTAAACCTAGATTTTGGGCACGTTCATTGAGAGTCTTGATTTTGGATGTATGCCATGATTGATTAATTATCTGATCGCCTAGAAATAATTTAAATTTTCAATTTTATGACAATGAGCACATAAAAATGTAAAATTTGATGATTACAGTCTAGTTTTGGATTGAACTACACTTGAAAAGAAAATGCTTGTAAAAGCCTAAATACGATACGACGACGATTTTTTTGTTGTCGCCGGAAAGTAGAAGTCCTAGTTCTAGTAATATATGGATTGGAAGTGTAAGGACATGGATGATCCATGAATATTGGTATGTATGTTCCATAAAAAAATCTTGGTATTTTTGTTTTAAGTAATTTAAATTAATAATTAATTGAATCTTGTTTCAGATTCATCGACTCTTATCTTCTTATCTATTTTCTGTTTTTTTTGTAAGTCAATCAATAAATAATAAAAAACCAAACATAGCCGAAATTGAAATACCCATTTTTTGTTCTTCGTTATTTTGCATCTTTCCAAAATAATTGAAATATTCAAATCAAGAAGTTATAATTGGTCAAATGAGATCCCAAGACACTAGTGGCAAAATAGATGCACTCCTAAAGTTCTGATTGAAAAAATTAATTAAGACAAGATGTCCATTTTTTTTACTTACTATTACCATATACCACCAAGGAAAGTTTGGATTTGGGACAAATAATTACTTAAAAATTAGCTTACGAAAGCAGCCCAAGCAAGCCGACTACTATATAAACCGCAAATCAGCTACTCCCAAAACCCACTTTCACTCCACTCAATTGAATTCCTACCCATTCTTCTAGCGCCGAATCAACTCTGCTCTACACGCCATGGGTAGCGTCGAAGATATCCTAGGGGAGCTCAACCGCGACGCCTTCGTCTCCCTTCTCCAGAAGGTCATCGGAGAGTCGGAGCGCGTCCAGAACAATCCGCCGGAGCTGATTCCGCAGGAACTTCTGGTTGCCAATCACGTCCTGGAAGTCCTCCGCCCTCTCAGCACCGAGTGCGGAGGTCCGTTGATTGTGAATCACGTTTCTTACTCCCCCGGCAGAAGCAATCTCATCGTCGAGTACCCTGGCACGGAGTCCGGCAAGATCCTGTCCTTCGTCGGGATGCATATGGACGTCGTCACTGCCAATCCCGCCGACTGGGTTCGCATCTCTCACTTTTCCCGCTTTCTTTTCTGTACAGAGTCGTTGCTTTGATTTGGTTGAATGTTAGGTTGAATGAATTGAACGTATCGTAACTGGCTTCTGTGGAAGTGAATTCCAGTTAGCACTTGAGACAGGGGCATGGTCATCGTTTTGATACGGCTGGATTGAATTTCAATATGGTGATTGGTGACTGAACTCGTATGTATGTATCGGATTAGATACTAAACTCAGTAGGCAGTTAAAGCAAGAAGCTCACTATTGAATTTAGTTTCCAGTACGATTATAGTCAGGCGAGTTTGGTATAACCTAATTTAAGAAAAGATGTCTTGTCATTATGGAAGCCAGTTGAGGTTCAGCTGACTAATTCTCATTTCACAGCTATCTGTCAATCTTATTTTGGAAACTGATTACTGTTCTTCGCCTACATGCATCAGTTTTCTACTCTTTTATAACGCCTGCAGGAGTTTAATCCATTTGCACTGAGCATCGATGGGGATAAGCTTTGTGGGCGAGGGACAACTGATTGTTTGGGACATGTGGCCCTAGTGACTCAGCTCATGAAGAAGCTGGGAGAGACGAAGCCGAAATTGAAGTCTACTGTTGTTGCTGTTTTCATAGCGAGTGAAGAGAACTCTTCCATAACAGGAATTGGAGTTGATGCACTTGTGAAAAATGGGCTTCTTGATAAACTGAAGAATGGACCTCTGTAAGTTGTGAAATAACGAAGTATCTTTCTGGATGGTTCTGAAAGCGCATAGTGGTTAATGCTATTTTTGTCGACAGATTCTGGATTGACACAGCCGATAAACAGCCTTGTATTGGTACTGGTGGCATGATACCATGGAAAGTTCATGTCACTGGGAAACTGTTTCACAGTGGTTTACCCCACAAGGTATGCATCAATCAGTCCCATCTTTATGTGCATCATTCCAAGTATGAGATGTAGCTGTCACAATCTATGAGAGAAACGCATTGATAAGCCACCACGGTAGTGACTAGTTTTAGGGTCATCAAATTTGCATATTCCACAACATCCCCATTAGGAATGGAAAGACTGGGCCGTTTCCTTTATTTGAAGATAGGAGCTCTTTTACGTAGCGCATAACGATAGAAGGAAGCTATGTACAACCGCATTGGCTGTCGTTCACGGTATTTAGACAGCATTATAGAACCAAGCTTGTCTTTATAAGTCATTGTTAACAGTTTTATATCTCCCTCCATCTTCCATTAATTAGTTTTGGTTGGGGGAAATCATTGGTGGCCAGTAGTATTTTGTGTCTTCTAGTTCTTGTTTTGGTTAAGCGTAATGTAGTTTGAGCTCGCTTTGGTTGTTTTTGTCTTTTTGTCCAAGAGATAACAAGATAAGGGTTAGGACAATTACATACCCTAGCTTAGGGTTAGGGATTGATGTCCAAACACCTGCTACTTTATTTATGCCTCATAAAGAGGTCTGGATTATGGACAGGCCATAAATGCTTTGGAATTAGGCATGGAAGCAACTAAAGAGATTCAGATGCGGTTTTACAAAGATTTTCCAGCTCATCCCAAGGAGAAAGATTATGGATTTGCTACACCGTCAACAATGAAACCAACTCAGTGGAGTTGTAAGTTTCCATTTACTTCAACGGGTGGGTTAACTGGGTGAAGTAATTGCTTTGATCTCTTAAATTCCATCGTTACTGTAACAGATCCTGGAGGTGGAATCAATCAAATTCCAGGAGAGTGTACAATTGCTGGGGATGTCAGGTTTGCAACTCTTTGTAGGACTCCATGCATATATTTTGATTTGAGGTGGTGAATTTTACCCAACCAAACCTAACCCGAATCTGACACACGAGTGAACCCGTTACCCTTTATGACCCAACTCGTCATGCTTCATTGCCGACTATTGGAAGCCCCTGACCCATCAAGCTATAACCATTATCACAGGTCGCAACCTTGACTTGTATACAAGTTTCTTTGTAACTTTGGTGAGCTTGATTATGACCCACAACCCTAGTGGCGGGTGGCCCAACCTGCCACCACCAACCACTACCCAGTATGACCATACTGTTATGATCGGGACCCCATTATGACTCGCACAGTCATGTTTGCCATTTTGCTTTAGGGGAATGTAGAAAATTGGGCCTTACTGGTATTTTCTTTTATATGCAGATTGACTCCCTTCTACAAGTAAGCTATCTTTCTCACTATTGTGTTCTTAATACCTTTTTGAAAAGTGATCTTGTGGTTGTGGTTTGGATTCGCCTTGTATCTGTGTATGGATGACTAGTTTATTTTTGTCATATTTCTAGTGTATCAGATGTAATGAAGAAACTACAGGAGTACGTAGATGACATAAATCAGAACATAGAGAAACTAGATACGCGAGGTCCAGTCTCGCATTATGTACTTCCAGATGAAAACTTGAGAGGGAGGTATATATATTCTCTTTCTTTTAGTGCTAGATATTGATATCCTGTACTTTTAGTCTTACTTAAAGCTGCTTACATGTTGCTTTATTCTATGTCGCATAGACTTTCAATATCCTTTGAGGAGGCAATGTCGGGTGTTGCTTGCAACCTCGATTCTCGTGGCTTTCACGTGCTGTGCAAAGCAACTGAGAAGGTAGTTGGCTACGTAAAGCCATACTCAATAACTGGAAGTTTACCATTGATACGCGAATTGCAGGTAACAGCTTATGTGCACGTTTGTTCCTTTTCTTAGTTTTTGTTTTCCGAGCTCCAGCCTTTTCCAAGTCTCGTGTATATGTGATTTGTTGCAGGAGGAAGGTTTCGACGTTCAGACAGCAGGATATGGTACGAATAAGCATGACAAACCTTTGCCATACTACTTTTTTCTATTTTTTATTGTCATCCTGGTGAATAATCGTTCTATGATTAATATTCGTTAGAAATCGATGATGTCGATTTATCATTTTCGTAGTGATAGTATGTGTTGACGTTAGGCTAGGCTCTGCATCTGCAAGATAAATTTATCGGTAGATGGGGCAAATTTGATCTTTACAACCTCCCCAATTGCAGATAATTGAGCATTCATCGTATGCATATCACGACTTATGTTCCTTTTAATTGATTTTTGAATGATCCTGCTCATCAGATAATTTAGCAAGAATGCACTCGTTGTAACTGTTCATCCTATGTTGTTGATTTCTAAGTTCTGACTAACCTAGGTTCATGCGTAGTGGTTTCATAGTTCATACGCTTTTAAGGAGAGCAATTGGTCTGCTTTACTGCCTAGCCAGTTCAGTCATTGATTCATTCGTTGCTTCCCCCATACTTGACCCTTTTCGTCCAACCGCATTGTAATCACTCGTCATCTTTTATCCACGTCAACTGATCATTTCTGCTCTGAAAATACGCAGGTTTGATGGCCACATACCACGCCAAGAACGAGTACTGCCTGTTCTCTGATATGGCCCAAGGCTACAAAGTCTTCACCAGCATCATCTTCCAGTTGGAAGACTAGACCCTCACCAAACAACCATCCAAGTTGGGGTTGATTTGCTTTATTCATGATCGTAATTTCTGATACAATGGATCCTGCTATCTGGAAACTATCATTTCAACTAAGTCTGTAATCTAGGAACACTCTGTATCACATCACATCACTTTTCTTTACAAAGGGATATATACCTAATAATGCCCAGGAACATATGCTATACATTTTTTCAGTTCTTTCCCATCATTGGATTCTCCCTCTCTCCGATTTAAGCTGCAGGATTCTATGGCGTAGTTTTCTCCGGTGTTCGTGTATCTTCCACAACCCATGCCCCAAAACCACCGTCGAGTATATCCCGTGGGTGATCATGGGTGCAAGAATATTGTTCGTCTGAATGGGAACGGAAAACTTGCGTTAGTATCAGGAACTGAATGGTGCTAACTGCTAAATAGTAGAAATGTCTAGGAAAATGGTGAAACTTAAATCACCTGGATCCATTCGTAGCCGAGGTAGAGAGACAAGAGCCCTTCGAGTAAGGGCGAGTAGATCTTCCTCATTTGCCTCCTCTCGTACCAGGCTGATGAGATAAAACCAGAAACATATCAGCTACGTTATTAGCAAGGCAACAAGGACGCTACTTAGTCAACGAGGATATGTCGATAATTAGGACACTATACTGCGCGAAAATGGATGGAGTGACAAATATTTTAGTTATCTAATCTTTAATGGATATTGAGTGACCTGTTTGTTAGAGACCAATAGATTAATGAGGTTAAGGGGGAAGAAACAGAAACCTGCAAAGAGTCTTTTGAGATCCTCACGGCCCGAGCGGGATGGCAGAACTGGAGCAACCACATAAGTTGGATCTGGGCAAACAACAAGCAACGCTTAACTCTATGACCTAAGAGTTGGTATTGGAGGGAGACTATATCCTGTTTGGTGTCCATTGTATCGAACCTTTAGGGGACGAGGCGACAAAATATAGGACACCGGTGAGAGCAGCAGTGACTGCAGCTGCGAAGGCCTGGGCAAATGGAACTAGTGGAGGCAGTACGCCAGCCTGCACATCATAAGCACCAGAGAGCCCAAAAAAGCTTAGCTTTACTACAACGATGATATGTTGTCTAAGGAAAAGGCAGGGAACATCGAAAGCACATTACCAAAGACGCCATTCCTTGAGCATTTGTCGCCATACTTGCACTCTTTATAAACAAGTCAGCCAAAGCTCCCTATGAAAGGGAATGAAGAATGATAGGAGAGAAATAATCAGTGATCATCCCGCAATTCAGAACTCCGTAGGATGAAGAGGTAAAAAAACGAATTGGCGTGTGCATTACTCAACACATTGAAATATTTGTTTCTTTCCTCAAATGACATGAAAATCCAGTCCATCGTGAATTAATCAAGGAGCATTAAAATTTCAATTCAACCAACAGCAGCTTGAGGTTCTAGTTCACACAGCGGAAGCAAAGTAATAAGATAGTAAAAGAGATTAAACCTGCACAGCAGCCCTGTAGAAAAGCTCCTCGCCCACCGAACTTGCAGCAACAATTAGAACAAACTGCAAAGGCCAAGGGAAAAACAGTAAACGCAACCATCAAATTCCATGGAAATGACTGCAAGATTCTGCAATGCATCTTACAAATCTAGAGGCGCAAAGGGTTACCTGCCATGGTGACATTCCATAGAAGAAGTTCCTAAGCTCCTCATCCTCCACATCCCTAATGGCCCGAGCATGAGGAGAAACCTTCACTACTTCATCCTATCATCATGTTCAAACAACACCAAATATTAATCCCCAAAACAAAAACAAAAAGAAGAACCAAGATTAGCTTCAATAAGACTCTGTTCTCTGGTTCATAGGAGCAATTTTGCTCCTACCACATTTAGCTAAGACCAAACAGAGTGACAAAGACTAACCTTCCAAAATTAGCATTTCTCAAATCTCCTACTTTATATGGCACCTCAAATACAATCCACTTCAGGAAAAAGTTTACCAAAACAACAAGGCAAAGAAGAAAGAGGACTTACATCCAATATAAATAGGAGAGCCATAATTGGAGGAGCTGAATATCCAAGCCCTCCAAGAATAGCATCCAACGTTGGATCGAAACCTCCCATGCTATCAATCCCAGTGAACGAGCAAATGAACCTTCCTGCTAAACCCATTGCGCCATATATACCTGACTTCCCCAAATTCCCACAACAAAAGAAAAAGAACCAAGAAACAAGGGGGGAAACAAGCTACATAATTAAGCACGAGTTGTTTCACAATGCACATGCTTAATATTAGGCCCTACCAACAACAAAATTCGATACAACCTTTGACTTCATTGACAAATATAGAAACAATGTGATGTTAGACCATCACCGATGTTGGTGATGACGGCTTAAAACTATGTGCAATGTAAGAATTCGCTAACAACATTAAGTTCATCGACAGTTGTAGGTGAAAACTTGATAGTGTGCGTCATATTTACCATTAACATGCTTGATTTGGATCCATATTTGTACCTTTGGAAAAAATGCGTCAAACTTGCCAATAAATCTAAAAGCTCTAGCACATTTTTACCTCATTTTCCCTCAATTATCACACTAGCCAAACAACAACTGAGCTCGGAATCCATAAGTGGAACACATAGCTATGAACATTTGTTGGTATTCCGTTTAAACAACTTTCGAATTGTTCTCCTTCTCCACGAAGAGTAAAAAATCGAATTCGAAACAAGTGAAAAAAGTGAAACAGTAATTAAGATCGAATTCGCCACTCACAGGATGAGAACAAAACTCACCGATTCCGTAACTCAGCCGAACCACGGCACCAATCTTATCCCAAACGGGGAACTCGGCCTCGCCGTAGCTCCGGTCGAATGTCGTCGTAACCTCCATCGCGCCTCCCGCGAAACCTCCGCCTGCTCCAACTCCTCCACCTCCACCAACTCCGCCGCTTCTATCCGCCGCTTCGCCGCTCCTCTCCGCAGAAATTCTAACACGCGAGTTCCAATTCCTCTCCCCGCCACCGCTCAAGCTCAATCTCCTCCTCCTCCGCGGAAAATCAGTCGCGCCAATCCTGCCGCGGAACGACGACGACGACGTCCCTCCCGCCGCAGTCGATTGGCTCGGAGTTGGAGGAACAAGCGGCATCGCCATGAACTGAAGCTCCTCTATCCGGCGCTTACTTTCTGTTTATCAGTCTCCGGCGGGGAGAAGACGCATAGCGATTCTCTGATTATTGCTGGGTTTCCATTTTTTGGGATCTTTTTGAATTGTTTTATAACCAGAGAGAGACAGAGAAGCGAGAAGATGGATGGCCAGCGAAGGAGTCAGAGATAGGTCAAAAAGGTCAAACCTGTGTGATCAGATGAATCGAACGGTTCGGATGTAGAGAGGTGGGCCCCGATTTTATTAAGTGGGAGATTTGCGAGGGAAAAATCCTGATAGCCATTGGGAGAGTGACGCGTGGAGATAACGTTGGCGGGCTTATCTTCGTTAAATTGGTTTGGTTAACCTCTCGGGTTGTTTTGATGCGGATGTGAAGGACACAAATTTTTTTTCTTGTCGAGAGAGGATGAATACGGCTACGTCGAGAAGTAGGGGTGTTCAAATGGTTACGGTAGTAATTACCTAATCAAATAAGTATAAAATTTATTTACTATAGAATATAATATTATAATCAAATCGTCTAAACTAATATAACAACCAAATTAAACAAATTAAAGGTTAATCGGTTTGGTTAATTGGTTAACCAAAATAACCAATATAACATCACAATATCATTAAGTGAGAAAATCTTCGGTTAATGTATCAATTCACAATTTATATAATGAATAAAACATAACACTCAATACATAGTTATAGTTAACCCTTCACATAAATTAATGTAAATAATACAATTATCTTACTGTCAATAGAAGTATTCACGTAAAAAATATATGTCAATGGTATGAGGTTAATGAATTGTTATGTTTTGTAAATTGTCTTATTCTCTTAGTAATTATCATAGGTTGAAAAAGATATTCCTTTCAAGTTTTCATCCAACATATTATATGAGTTTTATCGAAATTAGGAGTCCATATGTTGTGCTCTACACTTTACAAATACTAATATACATTATAGGAACAATATTGAACATTATATGAGTTTTTTATGAGCATAAGAGGGAGGAACGTTTGACACTTGAGTGGTTATGCAAAGTATTAAGTATGTGTATATAATAGTTATGAGAGATATGATTAAATTAATTACTTAAGTGGTTAATTTGGTTTGATTGGTTATGAGTATCTGAAACTAAACCAGACCACCTAAACCAAATAAGCTAAAAAAAATTAACCAAACCAAACCGCTTTCCAAATTAAACAAATACTACTGGTTAAAATGGTTACCATGGTAACCACACTGTTTGAACACCCTTAGCGAGAAGTGCTTGACGTTTGGTTTGGGAAAATTCGTTCTAAACTTGATTCGTGTGTTAACGAGTTAAGTTTGAGCTAAACTGATTTAGCTCTTGAGCAAAGTTTAGTTTAGCTCTTGAGCTAGATCGACTATGTGGTTTGTCAAATTCAACTCATGAACTGGCTCGTTTAGAGCTCATGAAATGTCTCAATATTGTGGCTAGAGAGCCAACTTGATCACCGACTTATGAGCGAATTGATCTATATGTTAGGAGTAATTCAAAGGATTGTTAAATTATATATCTCACCCAATATGAAATTCAACATGTCGAGCATATAAGAAATATGTTTTATTTTTTTAATTGTGTACCATAAATTGATTCAATACTATGAAAATTATGATTTGAACTAGTTAAATTTTATTAACTAAATAATATTATACCAACAAAGTATAATATAAGATTAGTTAATGTTGAACATTTGACTGTTATTATTTTTTTCATTATGACATCAATCACATGTATGGTATATAACATACAAGATGAATGTATCAAATACGAACTAAAAATTTAGTCAACAAGCCCAGCTCGAGCTCGACTCGACTCTTTAATAAACGAGTCAAGCTCAAGCTTAGCTCGTTTATTAACAGACCGAGCTAAAGTTAGGGTAAAGTTTAGCTCAACTTGACTCATTTGCAACCCTATGTACCCAAATGAGAGATTTTGTCGGGTATTGAAAATCAATATATGTCGAGCTAAAGCCTACCATGGCTGGATCCTAGCTATGGAGAAAACTACTTAAGCTTTGTGGGTGGTATCAATACAGAATGACGACTATTGATCAAAATCAGGTTTTCTGGGAGGGCAAACTTATGCAAAGGTTTTCGGTACAACAAGTCTGGGAGTCCATTCGAGTGCATAGGCCTCTGGTCCCCTGGTGGCAGGTGATTTGGGGTAAGTACACTCTTCCCAGAAACAGAGTTATTGTGTGGCTTGTCATTTTAAATCGAATAGTGACTCGTGACAAGCTCAAGATGTGGGGTAAGATCAATGAGGCAGTGTGTGTGCTATGTGATTTAGAGGAAGAAAGTCGCTCTCAATTGTTCTGTAGTTGTGAGTATACTGGCATTTGTTTGCTGCAGTATTTGGCAGTCTGTTGCGAAGTTGGGGTTCAGATTGGGAGCAAATGCTACAAGAGTTGTGCTCTTTGGCTAAAAATAGTAGAGATGGTCATGTGATAAGTGTTATGTGGTGCTGGGTTTGTAGTATGGTTTGGAAGGAGAGATGTAGACGTGTTTTTGGAGAGATTCCCAAGTCACGGGAGATTGTCTTCTTACAATTGCACGAGGAGATTTGGTTATTAGCACAAGGAAATTTAAGATTTAAAGATGTTAAGCAGAGTAGAGTGGTAGGAAGATTAAATCTACACTTTTGATTTTGAGAGTTTTTCACTGTAAGATGTAAATCTGTGTTTTTGTGCGACTTGATCGTGTTGATCAAGTGAGCTTAATGACAAAAATAATTACCGGGGAAATTTTTTTGGTACCAATTTATTCATTTATTATCAATATGTTCCCACTATTTTCACTATTTCACAGTCACCCTTGGCGTTCTCTTTCTAGATGTTAAGCAGAGTAGAGTGGTAGGAAGATTAAATCTACACTTTTGATTTTGAGAGTTTTACACTGTAAGATGTAAATCTGTGTTTTTGTGCGACTTGATCGTGTTGATCAAGTGAGCTTAATGACAAAAATAATTACCGGGGAAAATTTTTTGGTGCCAATTTATTCATTTATTATCAATATGTTCCCACTATTTTCACTATTTCACAGTCACCCTTGGCGTTCTCTTTATACTAGTGCTATACTCGTCATAGTTGTGGTTTTGTCTCTCAAAATCTCACCACGAGTGCTCAAGATTTCCTCCTCCGACAATCGACCATGGTCAAGCAGCAAGCGTCACAATTAGCATTTACAATCGATTTGGTTCGATTACAACCAGAACTGTTTAGTCAGTTTTCGATTAACCATTAACAACTTTATGTTTACTGTTAATCGCACCGTTTATATGAGTAAGTTAACCGTAACTGTACCGCTAATTTTTGGTTATTTTGCCGTTTAACCGAATAATCGTAAAGCAATTGATTATGCAAGGTTATACCTAAATAACCAATTGTTAACCTAACCAATAGAAGACCTCCTCCTTTTTCAAATGTGCATTTATGTAGATTTTTCATTATACGTATGTGTTTTTTTTTAAGTTGTTATCATTGAATAAAAATAATTTAACATAAATATCAATCAATAATCAAACCCAATACAAAACAAGTACACAATAACTAGCGAACTAAGAACAATTACATGGAAACTTATTGAAATTATTCGAAAGTCCTTCATTGAAATTATTCTCATTTTAACTTAAATCCCTATTATAACTAGGTTTAGCCAAGGGATCTAGTAAGCCTTAAAAACATATCCTTATTGGTGGCCCTGTATTTGTATTTTCCATAAATTTATAAATCCAATAGAACACGAAGATTTCATTCCATCTGTGCAAAAAAAATTCGAGTTAAAAATGAAAGTGGTACCAAAGTGGTAACAGGTATTATGAAAAAAAATTCTCAAAATATTATATCACACCAAACTCGTACCATCTGTGCAAAAAAAATTGAAATCAAAGTTAGAATGAAGAAGATAAGAGACGATTATGAAAACTAGGAAAAATGAAAAGCCATTAATTCTCGCCCCTTAGTCCTTAGATATGGACTTTTCTCGACTTTTGTGACTCCACTCAAATCTAAGTGCACAGATCTAGTTATGGGATGTATAACCAAAAGTTATGCACCCTTTCCTGGACTGAAGTGAAAACCCTGAGATGGCCGAATCGATTAAATGGAGGAATAAGTGGATTAACCACATAATTTTATGATGCATTAGCAAGTAAGTTGTTGGATTAGCAAAAGCTAACGTGACACGATGTTATTTTAAAATAGTTATAATATAAGTTAAGATGAGTTTTAATAATATACTTGTTACCAATCAACTTTTATAAACTTTTACAAAAAATAAGCAAATAAATAAAATCAATTTAATTGGAGTTCATCAACCTTTAAACTTTATTAACATATCTAGAGTTGGGTGATAAAAAGGATATATCTATATGCTCATGACTATCAACTTCAAGTGTAGTATTTTCTATCACAAATTTAAATTCCCTACAAATTGGGTATATCCTAAAATACTGATCTTTCGCTCATCAACATTATCAAACCAAATGTCGTACACTTAAACCATGAATTTCAATACCTATTTTTATCCTCCACTTCATTTCCACACCCAAACACAGAAAGCCAAAAAATACACCAAAAATGGAGATTTAATTTGTGGACAAAAATGTTTGAAGGGACGCTTCTCAAAAATTAAGCTTAAGTAGGCGCTAAGCGTCTTTCATTGATTATTTAATTGAACTGGAGAAAGAATCGAAATTGATTGAAGAGGCAAAAAAAATGGCGAATCATCGTTATGCTGCATTATGTTTCTACCTCACTTGCTTCCTTCTGTTCATTGGATTCGCTCATTGCAACCAGATCCCTTGTAAGCCAAGCAACCAATATTCCATACCCTAATCCGCTCTCCATTACTCCATTTTTGGTGGTTAATTGTTATTGTGTTTTTTTTACTGACACGAATTTTACAGATTCAGTATTTGTACCTAGCTCATGGAAAGCAGCTTCTCGCAGCCTTCTCCAAGGTGTAGATTCATATCATTCAAAGGCACACGCGGATGGCCTCTTACGTGGGTAGTCATTTTTTTCCACTTTGTCTGTGTGTCATACTTGTCTTGCAAAAAAAAAAACACAATATTTCCCAATCTATTGCGAACTATCGATCTATTTGGAGGTTGCGATTGTTTTCCATTTGTGTAAGATTCGTCCTTTTCCCCCCTTTTGTTTGGCTGGTGGGTGCAGCGTGTAACATATCCTTCGACACAATGGACTACACGGTGTTTGGGAAAGGATGCGGAGAGCACAACAAAGAGGACCAACACGCCCCACGAAAGACGTGTTGTGCGGCTTGGATGTTGTTCATTTGTCCCGTCAGGGACTACATCAAGGACATGGGCAGTTTGTGCCGGATGGACATGTTTTGGAATGCTTACCATCAGTACCGCATGGATCAGGAATACTTCATCAGGTTTTGCATACCTCCTGGGCACGATGTCGACTGTGGACCGGTCGATAAACTCCGTGAGCAAAAAGGGAAGAAGGCATTGTATGACCCTCTCGCCCGAGATCAAGGAGTCCCCGACGTCGACCTTCTCGACGAGGCGGCCGAATCGCTGAACATGCCTCAATCGTTGTCGCCGGGGCGACAACCTGCAACAGCCCGCCCGTAGCAGACGCAGCGGGTGGGAAGGGAAATCAGCTGGCAGACCGTCGCCGCGACTCTGTCATCCGTATAAGTTTGAATTACTTGAATTTATTGTGGAATTTGCAAATAGAATCACCAACTAACTGTTGTTTTTTTTCTTTTCACGTGAATTCATTTCAAGGACACAGTGGAATATTTGACTTCCAACTATACAACCAATGGATGTATGGATATTGAGCTTGTAATTCCACAAACATTTTATTTTTCCATTTTACGATAATGCGATGGTGTGGGGAAAGATAGTTCGAAATCGACAATTATGATTTTATGAGTAACTAGTGATTTTGGCCGCGCTCTGCTGCGGCCTTAGATTGATTTTGTTGGAACCATTATTGTGTTAATGATCCACTCACAATATGGATCTATTCATGCAATAAAGCCATTATCAATTTCCTGCAATAAAGCCATTATCAAACTTTATGGACGTTAGGAGTAATTAGACAGGAAGAGAGTCATACTTTTGGTAACTCTGCAAGTTCTTTTGTTTGGGACCGGTTACCATGTCAGTAACTGTTAGGATACTAATAAGAGTTGTAGTTATTCTCTGTGATGACCAATTAGTGATTCATCTTTGTTACGTGTGAATTTTCATTATGTGTTGAATTTAAATATGTGTGAAACAATGTAATGACTTTTTCATATATCTGAGCTAAACCGAACTAAAGCGGTTGGACCATTAATCCTCAACCCACTTGCTCGACTGGACCAACGGGCTAAACCAGATCGACAACCCTCTAGTTCTTTTTTTCCCCTCTTTCTGTTGTAGATTCTCCCAATTTGTTCGACGACGAAAGACGAAATACCAAAAAAAAAACTTGTGAAGAAGAGAAGGAGCACGAACAGGGGTTTGGTCTTGTGATAAGTGATAACCACTAGGTTTGAATCTGGAGATCTCAAATTCAAATCTCTTAAGTAGTTCCCTCAAAAAAAATCCCTAAAAAAATCTCTTAAGTAGTAAATAAACAACAAAAAGTAAACTTATATCACCTTATAAACAAAAGTATATGTCATTCGAAAAGAATATTTGATATAATTAATAATGTGTAAACAATACAATCACTGTTGTGAGCTATTGGCTAATATTATGGCTTGAACTTCTTTTTTTTCTTCTTCTTCTTACAAAATTGTGGGCAAATCAATTAACAGATATGACTCAAGTTATGATGGACGATGTATATTCACTTTACATCTTTTCTTTCTCAGAGAAGGAGGAGGGATTTGTCCACACTACATCCCACGTGTTGATAAATGGCTGGGAGGTTAGGGAGAAAAAATGACAGTAGAATACCATAGTTAAACCCTTATGGAAGGGTAAGCACATTGTTACTTTAATAAGTATATATATATATATATAGATGTTACATTCTCTTTTATACCAAAGAGCTTTGAATCATGGGTAAAATGAAACGTTTCATATGTTGCCAACGATCGTGAATCGTGATACATCCTAAGTAGCCAATCGGACGCGGACAGATGTCTATGCTGGAGAGCTGAAACCAATACTACGACACACTCTGCATGCAAGCCACGTGGCTGCCTCGTGGCCACTTCCCAGCTTCACAGAGATGCGTATATATGCGTAAACGAAGTTAGACAGAAGGCAAACTAGTTTTCTTTCTCGTACGAAAATTACCTGCAGTGAATTTAGCTCAGTATTCGAGTTCAAAGATCGTCACAAACAGATCACCATGATGATGAGCGCAAAGCAGAAGATCAGCAACATAGCCAGCGCCGCTAAAGAGCGCATCACCATTTGCACCGCTAAAGCTGAGGAACAGGTACGTATATAATCTTTACCTTTTGCTTCATCGAGTTCCTGATCTCAATTATGCGACCTCGTTTGATTTGCAGGCGGAGAAGGCGACGGCGGCGACAGCGGAGGAGAGGGAGATAGCGAAGGAGCGGCGGAAGGCCAAGGAAGCGAGAGCCAAGATGGAACTGCACGAGGCCAAAGCCAGGCACGCCGCCGAGAAATTGGACGCTAGGAAGCACCGTTATGGTACGGTTGCTGCCGCCACCCACCACCAGCCTGGGCACGATACGTTTGGTCATCATCAGTATCAAGACCCTGCGGTTATGGGTATGGCTGCGCCGGCCACAGCGGCAGCTCCGGCGGTAGCTCGACCCGCCGGAGGAGCCCCGATGGCGACGCAGTATCCGAGTACTGTACCTGCGGGGACGACACAGTACACGACTGGTACTGGACATCACTATGTCTAATTTTGTGTGAAAAAAAAAACATGTGAGCTATAAAGAACGTTGTTACATCAAAAGAGTGTACGTAAAGCTTGATATCAAAAGAGCCCTATGTTTTGTGCAGTTATATTCAGTACAATTTTCCAGGTGCAGTCAAATGTTCCCAAAATACACTCTTTTTACCAACCAACAGTAGCACAAAGCAACAATCTATGGGTAAAAACGATCAAGGTGGAAGCTCCTGACGGGCATCATTACCATACTCGGATCTATATAGACATCTATTCTGAAACTTACCCCGACACTCTGCGTGTGCTTCCACCACCATGGTGCTCGTTCGCGTAATCCGAAAAAATCGCGTTCCTGAGGTGGTTATACCAGTTGCAATCTGCCTTGGTGTTCGATGGAGTGCTGGAACTTCCCATCAGGGGACATTACCTGCCTCCTGACCTTGGCATGGCGGACATTGGATTTTGCTTCGAACTTGGGGAATGAGGAAGGTTCGTTGCCGAAACTGAAACTGGCGGTGGGTGGAAACTGTGAGGTGGTCTCGTCGAGGAATTCGTCGGCGACATCTCCGTCTTCATCTATCTTGAGGCGCTTTGCGTACCACCTCAGACCCTGTAATGTGCAGACCATCAGGAGTCAGATCTCGATGGCTATCGCAGGCGCCAATTAGATTACTACGCATAGGATGCAATCAAGCAATGGAATGGGGATGAAAGCCAAATGCTGCAGAATAATGCTGCATTCAGGAACAAATTAGGGCCACAGAGCATTCAGGAACAAATTAGGATGGCGAACTATGCCGTTATATATCTGGTTGATCAAAGGCCAGAATCACAACAAATGTACATAAAGAATCACAGCTTCTGTCCTGGCTCCTGAAGTAGGGGTTAGACACTATTCCGAAAGGACAAATGAAAAGGTCGTTCACAAGTGTTGCTAGTATTTCCAAACATATTGGATATTCTGAAGGGATTCGACGAAGAAAAGGTGACATTATAGTATGCCTACACAGAGGGACCAAGGTGACAAAATGTCTTACTTTTATGAGGCGGAACAAATAGTTAGAGCATAGAAAGATGTTTTCTATATACGATTTCTCTTGTAGAGAAGTGATTCAGTTCATTTTTACAAATGTGCTTCTGTACTCAAAGGACTAAGTAGCTAAAAAGGCATATTGTGGCATCTAATGCTCTGAAATTAACTTCTGAGCAGAGCTGTTGCAGCACATTAATCGAGCACAAAATTAAATTCTGAGCAGAGCTGAAACTTGGATAATTTGTTTTGTTTCTGCGCTTTTCACTTCCATAGGATGACCAGTGAAAATAAAAACCTAGCAATAAGAGTACAAGAAAAGGAAATCACAAAAAAAATACAGAAAATAAGTAGCAAATGTTCTATTAGCGTGATTAAGATGTACATGGTGAAGATGGCTATGTTTCTTAAATCATGCGAAGTACTAACCACTACCTCTACTCTACACCACAGGATGCATCTACAATTGGTTAGTCCTTTCCAACATATTGATCATTTGAAATAGTGCAAGCATTGTAACCACAAGTAGTGACATTTAAGCTCCAAATACACAGGTAAGCATCACTCTTAAATGATGTCGCTTTGACAGCCAACCAAATTTCTTCAACAAGCCATTGGACTTGGCAAAATCTTACATAATACATGAGCTCAAAACAGATCGACATCAGTAAGGGATAACTGACTTCACACTTGCCTCAGTAGTCCTAATCATATACCCGTGTTCTCTTCAGTCTGGCCTTTTAATTCGGGTAGAAGGCCCTACAGCTTGACAATCAATAGGACGACAGAATACCAACTATGTTGACTACAATTCACAGATAGTTAACAATCTTACTCCTGTTCAGAAATTCTGCACACTAACGCTTCTCAAACGAACATGAATAGACCATAAAATGGACTCCTAATCAGGAATCAATAAACTGAATTCTCCTCCAAAAGATGCTTTCCTACTAGAGCATCATGTATATCAACTTCCATTTCTTTCATGACAGGTGTTGGCAATCTAGAAAGAGAATACTAATCTTCCATTTTAAGTCATAAATCAAGTAAACTATCCAGAGAGACATCACATTGAATCCAAAAAGGGAATGCCATATTCCATTTCAAGCAATAAAAGAAGTAAAGCTACAGCAAGTTATCTCAACTTCAATCTGTTGTGCACCCTGCAATTCTCATGCCATTTCAGCCCTAAATGCGTCACAATATTCCCCTATTTGATCTCTCTGTCATCTATGTAACGCCTTACAAAGTCGTTCTTTTAGCAACTCCCATGGAAGAGTTGATCTCCATTTAACTGAATATGATTCAAGATCACGAGCCCATCATCAAAGTTATGATACAAATTTCATAGACAAAGGCTAGACGGAAACTGATGATAAATAAAGCCATAATGTCATAGCATTGTTGATAGACAACTGAATTCTCCAAAGGAAGTATACCGCAGCATAACGAATTGAGAAAACAAACCATACCCGAATTCCCAATTCAATACTTCCATATCCATTCTCAACCATCAAAAGTCAGCACAAGCCCACAGCAAGTTACAGCAAATGGAGTGAGACCGGGAAACCAACCTGGACGCCGCCATCGCCAGCTTTGCAAGGGATGAGAATAGGTCCAGGCTGCTGCCGTTCAACGGCGACCTTAACTGGGACGCTGAACCCTTTGCGGGGGATCCCAGTTTCGCGGTAATCAGGACGATGATGATCTCGTGATTGATGAGGAGGGACGTATTGCTGCTCCGCTTCGTGGTCTCCTTTTTCTTGCTCTTCTTCGTGTTCGCCGCCTTCGTCTCTAACGAACCCGAGTATACCCGCTATCCTCCTGAAGAATCGCATCGCATCTCCCCGCTACTCCAATAAATTCTTTGCCCACCCACTTCTAACCCCAATTCGCAGCCGGAATCTCAACTTTGAGCTGCCGAAATTCGAGGGCTGAAGAGTGATTACGGCGGCGTAGTAGGATGGAGAAATGGGGATTTGGGCGGCGTTTCTGCTGCTTTGCTTTGTGGTCTCGTCTTTTGGCTTTCCGCTTTGGAGAGTTCTTAAATTTACGGTTTTTATATTTTCTTTCCTTTTACTTTTTTTTAGATATCAAAAGAAAAAGGAGAGAAGAGTTATGCAAACAAAACTACATAATTTAGAGTGGGCATTCGGTCGATTCGGTTTCCACCGAACTGAAATTATGAATATCGGGTCTCTGAATTCTCCCAAATCTCAAACCAAATTCGAACCGTATTATACAAATTGACAAAGAGTCTAGGACCTGACGACACCCTCGGAGTACCGAAACCAACAATCGAATCTTCTATGACACCCTCCACTATCATGTGAGACAAGGACCTTGAGGCTAGGGGTGTTCAAACGATGTGGTTATCGTGATAAACATTTTAACTGGTAGTATTTGGCTCATTTGGTTTGGTTAATTTGGATAATTGGTTTGATTTTGTTAATTTTTTTAGATTGTTTGGTTTAGCTGGTTTGGTTTTCAGACACACCTAAGTCCTAACTAATCAAACCAAATTAACCAGTTAAGTAATTATCCATATATCTAATATACATATACTTAATACTTGGCATAACCACTCAAGAGCAAAACATTCCTTCATTTTAGACTCATCAACAATAAAACTCAATATTATTCCTATATTGTATATTTGTATTTGTAGAGTGTAGACCACGATATATGAACGCCCAATTTAGATGAAACTTGTACAATATATTAGACGAGGGAGTTGGATACGGATGTTGTGGCTTTGCTTAAGCGCATCCAGAAATTCTTTGTGTCTCAGGATGCGGGGGCTCGGACGGTCGCGTAACATTTTCACTAGACTTAGTGTTTGAACCTAACTGGGTGTAGGAGTGAGGTTCGGGGAAGATGTGGGTCAAGAAGAGTAAGCTAGAGGAAAATCAGGAACTTTGGGGGAGAGTTTGAGAGAATTCCCGTTTAGAGAGAGAAGTTTGATGTTTATAGAGAGAGAGTGGCTAAAATGCGATCCCCCTCACCCACCGGAGTAAATGCCATATTTATAGGCTACATGGTGGTGGGTGAGTGGGTGGATTACATGATGGGACCTTGACTCTGATATGACCACTGACATGTCGGGGATTTAGGCCATCCCCCTACCTAGGACATGTCAGGGGTGTACCTACGACTGTGTCACTGATCCCAACGCGGCTGACCCTCGGGAAGTGTGAGGGGAACTTCCTATGGCTTCGTGGCTTACAACGCGCCTGAGCCTCCGCGCCTTGATACTTTCCACTCTCGCGCAGCTTGTGAGGAGCTTTGGGTCCTCGCGCGTTGGTTCTCTCCGCTCGCGCGCGCGTAGTGGCGCGCCCTTAGCCCTTCATGCGCGCCTTAGACCTTCGTGCGCGCCTTCTGTCGGCGTGTCCTGCCTTGCACAGCTAGGTCCGAGTCACATGCCCAACAATTTCCCCCCATCAGAGGGTGTTCTGAGAACGCCCTCTGTTTAGGTCTTCGCTTGATTGACTCGGGCCTGGGCGCGGTTCCCGGGGTTCCTCGTGTGCGCCTTGCCATTCCGTAGCCGCGCGAGAGGCTCTGTTGTAGTTGCCTGATAGCGCGCGATCTCCGGGGGATTCTGATTCGCTTGAGATGCGTGCGCTCGGTCCTTGTGAGATCTTGTGAGATTCAAATCATCGATGGCACGGCGATTTGGTCGAGCGTGATTATCGCGGCTGCGATTGTTCCTCGCGTGTTCCGTAGCTTGCGCGCGATGTTCTATTGTGGTTGCCTGATTCAGCGCGGTCTTTGGGGTCCGGGATTCTGAATCACGTGCGCGATCTTTGCAAGATTTTTTCTTTTTCCTCGCGGGTGTGCCATGCCCCCCAGGCGTTGTGCGTAACTAGTTACGTCAGCGGCTAGTACCTACTTCGAATAGGTGTCCACGTGTCCTTACCTGGTTTGTCCGTTTGGGCGGGCGAATTTCGAAATTCGAAACGTCTGACGGTTGCGATCTTCGAGGTTACTTTAACCCTTTCCTCTAATAACTATAAGTATCGACCCGTTTGGGGAGTGGGATTCATTCTGCCTCATTCTTCACATCTGAGTTCTGCTCTTTCTCTCTCGTGCTCTGGTTTATCGCCGAGATTCTTCTCCTTCTTTTACAATCTTAAATCCCCAATCGTTGTTCTTATCTGTTGTTTCTTGCTGTCATGGACAACATCAACACCAACGTCGGCGAGGTTGAGATCGTACAAGACGAAGAAGGTAATGTTTCCCCACTTTCACGTATTTCTTCTGATCCGTCGCTGGAATTGGCGAATTCCGGCGGCGAGGACGGCGGTGGGTCCGGTGACGGCGGAGTTCCGTCGACGCCGTCGACCAGAGTCGACTCGGATCCTGATTTCGACCTCAGAGAGACGGAGGCCGATGAAGATGCAGTTGTGTCCGGGGGCGCGGGGCCGAGTACGCAGCCCCAGGGCGTCTTGATAATCAGACGCGACCGCGGTGGGATGTCCGGGGTCGCGGAGGGTGCTGGTACTGCGAACGCGGCCGAGCGCGAAGATTCCGATACAGAGTCGGCGCCGATAATCGCCGAGCCCGTCAACATGGTGCGCGTAACCGAGGCGATGAGTCGCCTTGGTCCTCGTTGCGTGGGCGCGGTCTACACCGTTCTTGATTGGGCGAAGATGTGGGGCGACCAGCCGGCTCCGCACGACAACTTGCTGCGGGGACCTGACCATTCTTCAATCTACTCGCGCGAGGACGTTGAAGAAATTGTGCGCGGGTTGGGTTTGCCTCCGCACTGGGAGTACGCGGTGCCTTCTGTTAGGAGCACAGTCGGTAATTGCCCCCCAGGGTGGTTCGGGGTATACAGCGAGTATTGGGTGATGGGCTTCAAGTTTCCCATCGACCCGCTGTTGTGCGCCTTATACAGGCGGCTCAACTGCTCGGTTGGGCGCCTCTCTCCGTCCATCATAATGCATGTCTCATGCTTGCGCCTTGCTTGTAAGCGGCTTAACATCCAGCCCACGTACGGGCTGTTCCGCAAGTTTTACAAGATCAAGGAGCCCAGCAAGACGAGTGATTGCTTGTCCATAAAGCGGCGCGATAACAGGCCTGATGGGTTCGTCTACGGCTCTCCCAAGTTTAAGAAGACGTGATTTGAGCGCTTCTTCTACGTTAAGCCGGTGCCGGGGGAGTGGGCGAGTGAGTACGTGGATGAGCCCACTGTGTGGAAGAAGGGTAGTACCCAGAAGTTTGAGTCTCGCGTTGGCGCGTATGAACGGCTTGACCAAGAGTATCAAGCGTGTTTGGATCAGAAGATGAATCTTTATACGCGCGGAGTTCGCGAGGCCATTTTGCAAGAGCTTTTCGCTGATGGTTAGTTATTTTCTTTTCCCTTTGCATTCTGTCATATTTAACCGGTTTCTTACGATATTTTGGTGCAGGTGTCGATTTCGCCGACCTCGCGAGCATGATGTCGGTGGACAACGTCGCGAAGGCACCCCGGGCCTCGCGTAAAGGGAAGAAGAAGCAGAAAGAGGGGGCGCAGAGTAGTAACGCGCCAGCTGCCAGCACCAAGAGGAAGGATCGGGGGCAGCCTAGCAGCGCTCCCGCGAGTGGCGGGAAAAGGAAGGAGTCGGCGTCGGAGAGGGAGCCGGCTGATGGGAGCCCAGATTGTATCTAGACTGCCCACTAATTTCTTGTAGACGTTTCATTTTTATTCCACTACTGAATAATTAATATATCAATATAATAAGATATTACATGAAAACTGGAAATGAAGGTTCTTTTCAACTTATGATAATTGGTAAGAGACTAATTATATTCACACAATCACAACAATTAATTAACTCCATACTATTGAGATATATTTTTGTTAGATGAATACTTCTATTGACGATAAGATAATTGTATAAGTTGCATGTATTTCTGTAAGGGTTAGCTATAACTATGTTTTCATTGTAATGTTTTATTTATCATGTAAATGGTGAATTGATGCATTAACCAAAATTTTCTCACTTAACAATGGTGTGATGTTATAGTGGTTAATATGGTTAACCAATTAACCAAACCGATTAAACTTTAGTTTGGTTAATTTGGTTGTTGTATACTTGTATTAGTTTGGACGGTTATGTTATAATATTTTATTCCACGGTTAATAGAATTTTAGCTTGTTTGGTTTGGTAATTACCATGATAATCATTTGAACACCCTTACTTGAGGCAACGACAAAGATAGCGTCTCTAACAGCTAGGAGCTCCTTGATGACACAAACCAAACGCCAGCATCACATACTCGTCGGACCCACAAACAACAAGCCCAGACGAACACCCGGTGGCACAAACAGTTGCATCGAAGTTGATCTTCAAAAAGGCATCTGGCGGAGGATCCCACAAGGTGGCTAAAAGATTTGGGAGGAGTGAACTGCGGGGCAGGGTAGGGGGAGGAGGTTGGAGACTTCAATGACCTGATTGTAAAATTATCTTATTAGAGAACATACATGAGGCCGTTCCAGATTAAACCATACAAAGAATTGTGATTTATTAGATCGGACCTACGATTTGGTCTAGATCATGAGACCAAATTCACCGTTTGATGTGGTTGGCATCTCTCCTTTAGCATATGGTCTAATGTGCTCTGGCATGATCTAATTCGTGATAAATTGTGACAGATCAAATGACCCATTAACCCCCACTCTCTCTTCCTCTCAATTCACGAATTCACTCCGCCCCACAATCGCAAAGCAAAAAAACTACCCTAGCTCTTTCTCTAATTTTTTTACCACGTCCATCCACCATACCAACTGCATCGTGCTCCTAGATCCTCCTCATACACAATCTCGACGCTACAACCTCTCCCTCCAATCTCCATTCGCCCACTCCACTAGCAATACCAAGTTGTGTTGTCACCAAACCCTCGAATCCTCCCTCGTGTCATTCGCAACTCGCCAACGACTCAACTCATCATTCACCGATGATCGCTCTTGTCACCCACTCAATTCATTTTCGTCTTCGCCCTGACATTCTCAACACTCCCTGCCATTTTTATCCTCGACATTTGCCCAACTCCTCTTCATCCTCGTCTCATCTGTCACCTCTTCTTTGTTCCTCCTCGCCCAACAATTGTAACAAATTCAAGCTGCAAGGTAACAAAAAACATTTTCGCTTTCTAGTTATTTGTGTGGCTGAAGACCAGAACGTTAGAAAAATTATAGATCTAATTAGGTTGCACAATTTAATCCGAATCATATACAACTAAGAATGGTTTTGCCTGTTTGTATTATTAGCTCAGACTGTGTTTCTCACACCAGATCGTGGACCCAATCTATTTTCCAATCCGTTTCAGCGCCCCACTCGATTACTCTCCCCACTCCTTAGAGAGACCAAAGTCTCAACCTTAATTTTACAAATCTCATCCCCTATTTTATTCACAACACACACTCCTTCAAAGATTAGAGACGATCACATCTCCAAATGAAATTATGTTAATGTATTAAAAAGTTTTGGTGAAAGTTGGCTTGCTCTAACTTTGTATCTTTATGATTCACTTGGATTTAGAGTATCAAAATTATACGTGCGTGTTGGAATGTAATAGTACTACATATATGAGAATGTGTGATGGTAGAGAATCATGTTTGACGAGAAAAGTAGTAGACAGAAAAGTTTGAAAAAATTTAGGCCAAATTCATTTGTGTAGCCAAAACTTTGACGTTTGTGACAATAATAGCCATTTTTGGGAAAATACCAATAATAGCCAGAATTTTGAAAGTTTAATGACAAATATAGCCATTTCCGTTACAAACTTTAACGGTGTTAGAAACTCCGTCAGTTAAGTTAACGTCAGGCTGACTAGGATGCCAAATCATCACACACGTCAGCGACAAGTCATCGATATCATTGCCACGTCATTTTATTTTATCTTTTCATAATTCCAGGTAGATAATTTTTTTTCTTCCAAATAGTCTTTTTTTACCTGAACTAAATTTTTTTATTTGTGAAAACTAAAAAAAACTAAATAAATAATAAATAAATACATTTTTTTATCTGTCCCTCTCTTCTCTCTGCCGCCGCCCGCAGAAGACCCCTTTCTTCTCAATTCTTTCTTTCACCTTCCTCCCCAAATTCTCTCCCATCAATCCCTAATCCAGATCAAGCGGCTTCAACGATGAGGAATCTCCAACAATCAAAGCTTCCCCGGAACCGCCTCCGAGATCCGTCAATCGGGCAGCCGAAACGTCACCTCAATCGTCCAAGAGAACCCCCACTTCTCATCTCCATAGCCTCTGACCCTGCCGCCGGTTTCTTCGGAGATTGGGAAGCCGGCGAGGGAAGTGCTGCCTGCGGCAGCTGCAGCGGCGGCGGTTCAGTCTGGTGAGAGGAAGTTCAGAGGAGTGAGGAGGCGACCGTGGGGTAAATGGGCTGCCGAGATTCGGGATCCAGCGAAGAGGGTTCGGCTCTGGCTGGGAACCTACGATACCGCGGAGGAGGCGGCGATGGTCTATGACAACGTCGCGATTAAGCTCCAGGGACCGGACGCACAGACGAATTTCGTCAATCCGCGTGAGAAAGATGAAGAAGTGGAGATCAATAGGCCGGAGGTTAAAGTTAGCTCGACTTCAGGGTACAACTCCGGCGACGAATCACACAACAACAACCTCGCATCCCCCACCTCTGTTCTCCGATTCAGAACCCAACAATCCGCTTCAGAGTCCTCCGAGCCGGAAACTTCTCAGTTGACCCTGCTGGGGTTTCGGAATAGAGAGACAGTGAGAGGGATGAAGAAGGGTTGTGGAAGGCGATCGATTTTAGTCAGGAAGAAGAAGACGGAGAAGGAATCGACACAACGGCTGGGAAAAAGCAAAGGAGCAATCGACTCACAGCGGCGGGTCGTGCCTCTGCATCAACTCACGCTGACGAGCTCACGCCGGCCGTTTCCAGTGCTCCCCGTCGGGTACCACCGGTACCAAATCCCTCCTATTGTCGTCAACGATCAGCATCACCACCCCCAGGCCCGAATTCAAGAATCTAATGAATTTGGGAGGAAGAACTAGGGTTCTTGAATTTGGGGGGTTTTCAAATCCGAATCTGGGATACAATTTCTTATGGACCAGGAGCGTTGGACATCATATTCAAAGCTTCTCCTCTATTTTTTGTAGTGAGAAAAGAAAAGTGGTTTTAGGATCAGTGGTGGAGACATGGAGGTGGAGTGGGGAGGAGAAGATGGACGAGAAGCAGAGGTAGCGGAACTGCGGAAGGGTGAGGGAAGAGATATTATTGTTCTATGTTTCTTTTTTGTAATTTTGTTTTATTTAAGTTAATTAAAGTAAAAAGATAAAATTATGATGGTTTTCCACCTGTTATTGTTACTTACGAAATTGTTGCCACGTCAGTCTTTCCGTTAGTCCAGTCAGCACGTTTACTAACACCGTCAAAGAATTGGACGGAAGTGGCTATTTTTGGTATTTCGCCAAAAGTGGCTATATTTGGCAAAACCGTCAAAGTTTTGGCTACCCAAGTGTATTTTGCCAAAAATTTAATAGTTAGAATATCAAAATTATATATATATAATCGTAGAGGGACAAGTTTGACGTGAAAAATAGTAGAAAAATAGTAGAGTGACCGTTTTGAAAAAAATGGAACAGTAGAAGTACCATTAAGTCATAGCCCTAGAAGTCTAGAACCCAACGAATTTAACCAGCTCATTAAAACCGATCGACCCACGTGACCAAGCCACCGTCGCGTGCCAAAACCAAAGACCTCCCTACTGTCTCCGACGACTGACGACTACTCTCTTCTTCTTCTTCTCTCTCTCGTATTCAACTTTCATTCATTTCAACCACCCTTCCCCGCTCTCTTCATTCAATCTTCAATTTCCACAGCGTTTGTCTTCCGCAATCAACAGATCCCCGTTCAACTACCTCCGTTTCGCCGTCGAATCTCCCGAGGGAAGGAAGGCTTGGCCCAGTGTTCCCGCTAATCTGGTTTCCTGCGATCCCGCCCACCCCACTGGATCGCACAGATGCCGGTCGCTGCTTCCGCCATCTATTTCTTGAACCTCCGAGGCGACGTCCTCATCAATCGCCTCTACCGCGATGACGTCGGGTATTTCCACCTAGTACCTCAGTTCTGTTCGAAAACTTTGAATTCTCTTCAGAATTTACTGGGAATTTAGGGGTTTGGACGAATGGCTGTCTTAGACGGGATTCGCCGTGTGGGTTGAACTCTAGATATTCGGAAATGTTTGGAATTGACTTGCGGATGGGTTGGTAGTGTTTGTTCTAATTGCGTTACCTGAGCCGGGTTGTGATCAACTAGTTCGAACCACTCTTGCTACAGTGATAGATGCATGTTGCACTATTATAATTCTAGGTGTTGATGGGAAATCGTTGTTGCCATACGCGGAATCAGGGGAGCTTCACGCTTGCTATTAGTTATTACAGCAGCGGGGTTTATGTCACTCCATTTCTCTATTGAGCTATGCTGTGCTTCTGTGATGGTTTCGTTTCTGTTCCAATTGGGGATTTGTTGGGTTTCCGGCGAGTGCTGACGGTCGTTATTCTTTTCCAGGGGGAATATGGTGGATGCGTTCCGGATGCATATTATGCAAACAAAGGAGCTTGGGACGTGCCCTGTGCGTCAAATCGGTGGTTGTTCATTCTTTTATATGAGGATCAGCAACGTCTACATTGTAATTGTGGTTAGCAGCAATGCTAATGTTGCTTGTGCCTTCAAGTTTGTTGTCGAGGTAAAATGTTTTCTTTTACCGTAAGTTCGCTGTTTTGTTACCTTTCAAGTTATGTTCACTTCCGAACTACTGAACAGAATTTTTCCTGCTGCCATACAGAATCTGGATTTCTGTTGAAGATTAGTGTCTGATCCTTTTGTAGTTGTTTGTTTGTTATGATGTATTATAGTCGGATATAGAAAAGGCATTTATGTCCAAATAAAGAGTTAATTACACGTCTGCGATCAGTCAGGAAAGAATGGCCGATCCTGTTATCTTGCCGTTATTGCCTATTGGCATATATTGAGATGGTCATTTCTCCTACTTTCTCTTTCTAGTTCCTTTGTGACCCTTATTTCAGGATGCAGCCATTTTAAATTCATGACCTTGTATGGCGTCAGTCAAGGATAAGCTATCTTTAACTTGTTCGTTAGTCTTTCAACTGAGGTGATGAGAAAGAGTGTTAAGGTCATTGTACACCTATGGTAAGAGCGTTCTACACGAGAAAAGACATGAACGAAGTTGCATCTCTATTGTGTACAAGGCCATATTTTTCTTTGGGTAACCCTTTTTGTGCAGTCACTAATACTCTTGTGGTTTGTTTTAATCTATGCAGGCCGTTGCACTATTCAAGTCATATTTTGGCGGTGCTTTTGATGAAGATGCTATTAGAAATAATTTTGTTTTGATATATGAGTTGCTTGATGGTAATGAATTCTTGTTGTTATTCCTTTATTTGTATTCATGATCTAGTTAGGTACTGCTTGTTTTTTTTTTTTTTGGGTATAACGTACTGCTTGCTTTAAATGTTCTACGTCTTACCAGCGTCTGACAACTTGCAGAGATCATGGACTTTGGCTATCCGCAGAATTTGTCTCCTGAGATATTGAAGCTGTACATTACACAGGAAGGAGTGCGCTCACCATTTTCATCGAAGGTAGCATCTTTCTCCCGAAAATCAATATTCTCGACCAAACAGTTACTATTTAACTTTTATACAGAGCTCCTTTCCACCCTTTTCTGTTGATCATTATGGAGTAGCTTTAATAATCTGTTTTCTATTGCAAAATCTTCAGCAAGCTTTGGATAAGCCTGTACCAAATGCAACATTGCAAGTTACAGGGGCTGTTGGTTGGCGAAGGGAGGGCCTCGCTTATAAGAAGAACGAGGTTAGATAGCCCTGCCTTTTCTCTTCTTCTCAATTTGACCTCTACAAGTCAGGTAGCTGGAGATTTACATTCATTTAACTGCAGGTTTTCTTGGATATTGTCGAAAGTGTTAATCTTCTTATGTCCTCAAAAGGTTGGTGATGTTATTTTGTGAGGTTTAATTTTGGAGGAAGCTGCTTCGACTGCAATCAAGTAATGCTGTTGTTACAGGTAGTGTACTACGCTGTGACGTGACGGGGAAAATTCTGATGAAGTGTTTCCTCTCTGGAATGCCGGATTTGAAGTTGGGTTTAAATGATAAAATTGGTCTGGAGAAAGAGTCACAACTGAAGAACCGTCCTACCAAAAGGTACTAATTTCTGTGACACCAATAGGTGTCGGCCTTATGATAATATTATCATGTTTGGGAAATCCATTTATTAGTTGTATACGTTTCAAGGTTTTCCTGATACTTATATAGTTGTATCCAGTAGAATTATAATTATTCTCCTCTCTTTTTGTACATTGTCATATAATGGACATCCCCACCCATCTGTCATAGTTCTTTGATTCTGTTTCTACTACGACTGTTGCCTTCTTTAGCTTATGGTGCTTGTTGCTTAAAATGTAGATATCAGTCTCAGTATCTCTTTTGCAGCAAAAATGGTTACAAGTTAAATTAGTTATACGTGAGAGTAAGAAGCTGAGATATTTCACTTGTATTCTTCTATCATTTTAATCTTCTGGCTCTCTGTGCAGTGGCAAAACAATTGAGCTTGATGATGTTACTTTTCATCAATGCGTGAACTTGACAAGGTTTAACTCCGAGAAGACAGTTAGTTTTGTTCCACCCGACGGCGAATTTGAATTGATGAAGTAAGCAGCTTAGAACCTTATGACCTCATTTCAGCTTTATGATATATATACTTTTGAACTTTGTGGGTTTCTATGTCATCGAAGGTGGATGGTTGCCTATGGGTTAGCTTGCTTTTCTAGAATCGTAACCAGAAGTAGGGTTTGCTTTCATGTTGTTCCTTCCAAAGTTATCTGAGGCTGTTCTGCATTTTGCTTTCTTCAGGAGTATTGCCGAAAAACAAAATCAAATGCATGCCTTTTCTTACGTGCGGATGTGCTGACCTGGATGGTGTGCTGTCCCATATGGTCTTTGTAGAATGAGTTATTGGTCTTTCACTACTAAGACTAGGAAAACCGTAATGAAAGCTTTGACCGAATCATAAGTTGCTTCAGAAACTAGTTGTGCATCGTCTATCCCTTTGTCTCAACTCAGGGCCTGCCCTATTTGTATTCTTTGAATTCATCTTTATTTTTTTCTTTATCGTGCATTATAGATTCTAGATGCTCCTGTTTTCCATTGTTCTTTTTAATTGTCCAACATTAGAGCCTTTTTGTGAGGGTCGTGAAAATGATTTTTTTATTTCTCAGATCTTTTGATAAATCTTCACCTTCTGACACCCTCTGGGTCTTATCCTTTACAGGTACCGTATAACAGAGGGGGTAAATCTACCATTCAGGGTATTACCTACAATTAAGGAACTTGGTCGAACACGTATGGAAGTGAATGTTAAGGTTTGTAAGCTTTAGATGTTGAGGCTTCCTTTACATGAATGTCCGAGTTCTACAGTTGCTTATATGGAACCCGGTTCAGGTTAAGAGTGTTTTTGGCGCAAAAATGTTCGCTCTTGGTGTGGTCATCAAAATCCCTGTACCTAAACAAACTGCCAAAACAAGCTTCCAAGTGACATCTGGAAGGGCAAAGTACAATGCATCGATTGATTGCTTGGTTTGGAAGTAAGTTCTTCAAATGTATCTAGAATATTTTTGCTTCACTTTCTGGAATGTTTTTACCTTGTCTATTTTGAAACATTGTGGATAGCAAAAACTTCCGCACTCTGATTGCATCATAACGCTCTATTTGAAATTTTGGGAACTTTAGATGGCTGTTGAAATATTTGCACCTCTGGGAAAGAAATAGCTGTGGACGTTGATAGATCATTGGCAACACTATAGCAGCTTTAGGAAGATGATAGTTGGATGGTAGGCATCTTTAAGTGATGTTGTTCATTAATGCTGTTGTATATTTTGAGCTGAAGAGTTACATGTGTCCGAAGTAGTGACCTTAATCTTTGTACTTGGGAAAATACTGAGATGCTTGCAGTAGTTTGTAACCACAGATCTCATTTTTTTAGTTCCACGAGGAAAAATGAAGTAAACGTGATCAACATCAGTGAAGTCTACTGAGAAGTACAAGCTTGGCTGGCACTAGAATAGTATAGTACCTTAATGCTAGTATGGTTGGGCTATTTACGTGTTTGTTTTCTATAACGTGTTTATTATTCAAGTTTATGCAATTTACTTTCTTTTTCTTTTGAAATTTCAAATGAATGCTGTCACTTACGTAGTATGTTTTTGTGTGCCCATGTCTTCATCTATTGAATATCTTGACCTTAGTTTATATTCTTAATCTCACAGGATAAGGAAGTTTCCCGGCCAAACTGAGCCAACCTTGAGTGCAGAAATTGAGTTGATTTCTACAATTGCCGAGAAGAAGTCTTGGACACGGCCACCAATCCAGATGGAGTTCCAGGTGGCTACCTAATTATCTGTTCCTGTTATTGTCACTAAAAGTGCTTGTTTTCCTCGGCATCAATATTGATGATTAATTCTCACGAAAGCTTAATCTGGAAAACATAACTGTTTTTGTGACTTCTTCTCGAACTTTAATGACCTTTAGTGCCACAGCAGCTTGACTTAAACTACTTTTAACCAAATGACATCCACACCAACCCAGTTCGATGGTAAATGTGCAATAAAATCTCAAAAGAGGATTACTAACTTCATGATTGGTTTCCCAGGTCCCCATGTTCACGGCATCCGGTTTACGTGTTCGATTTCTTAAGGTATGCTTCAGAGTTAGTTTTCCCCCCTTCTTCATACATTATGATCAAAGGTATGTCTCCAATTTATGGCAATCGTCTGCAGGTATGGGAGAAGAGTGGATACAACACGGTTGAGTGGGTTCGTTACATTACCAAGGCAGGGTCATACGAAGTTAGGTGCTAGAGTTTATTATTTTGAATTGAAGCTATATATACTGCTCTCGAGGATGTTCGGTACACTGGTCGAGATGCAATTGCATGCTGGCTCCTAGCCCTTGAAGCCGAATCATTTGAAACAGAGGTCACATGCAGTTCCTCTCACCTTGTTTCCATATGAGTTCAGGCGTTTCCTCTATTCGGCTGTGATCGTTTGTTGTTGCTATATTCGGATTTGTGTTGTAAATCCAGGACTTGGCAGTGGAATATTTATTGGCACACTACAGCTTGTTTGTTGCCTTTTCGTTTAGTTGGTGCTTTGTTGTATATTAAAGTAGAGCGAAGCCATTCTTGGAGAACAGCAGGCAGGATCTGTTTCTGTTGATATACCCTTATTGTTTTCAGGATTTTTGCTTGTTGCCTATTTACCATTTTGTCGCCCACAAGTTGAAGAGATTTTATCTTATTCAGTTGTGTTCTCATTTTTTGGATGAATGTGCTTTTGTTTGGATTATGGTTCTCATTCTTCGGTTATTTTTTGTTTGATTTCTTCTGACTTGGAGGACTGGACCATGTTTACTCTCAGAGGTTGCTATTCTTGTGGCGAATTGTACAGAGAAGATTGATTAACACAAACAAGGCTAATAATTGAAAGAATCGTGATAGAACCGTTCTGGTTTGGTCTCTGGTATATGGTTGACACTATGGGTGGATCACTGGATTGGGTGGATTTTGGTCTCAAATTAACTCATCCGCTTACTAGCAAATTGGTATAGTTATTACTTGCTATCAACCCACTTTCTTCTTCGGGTTGAGCTGGGTGGGTAGCGGATGGGTGCAGTTGGATTGTAGATTAATTCGCAAATGCAATTCTCCAACTAGCCAGTAAGAAAGTTGACTAACATTTATAATAATTTTATCGTAAATTAGTAAAGACTGTATCAACTTAGACACTTATTATGGATTCGTGTAGTTTTGCATCGAATTTTTCATTACTCCATCAACCAATTGTGTAGAGAAAACGGACACATTTTGGAACTTTGATTCAACTAATCGATTATAATTTCATCCCAATACATAATGAGTATCAAAGAATATAGTAACCAATAAGAGTAGTTCAAAAATATTCTTTATTCTTCACCTTTAGGAGACGATAGTCAGTGTACAGTGCAATTAGTAAATATGATGACTATTCGATGATATAAACGAGAAACAATTTTTTGTCATGTGAAAATATATTGTGGGTCAGGTGACATACAATCCACCCACCACCCAATTGAATAAGTGTAAGTAGGAGATTTATCAATCCGCAATCTATCCGTTTTAGTTTGAGTTTTTACGGATGGATCGATGTCAAATCACGAATCAACTACCCACGTGTCCACTCGAGCCTACGCAGTTGAACCTTTTATAAACACTGTGGCTTTTGAATATGTGGAGGTTAGTTAGAAGATCTGAAGTTTGTGCGGATCTTGTGTTAAGTCCACCCGTCACCTACTAAACGAACCCTATCAATCATAGTGGAGTGATGATACATATATTAGGGCCGTTGTCCGTCCAAAACTTGGAGGGCATTGATTGAGGAGTAAGTAATGTCTTCATCCACAAGTAAGTGCCTTTTTATAGGTCAACAACTTATCATGGAATATCTCCATCCAAAGTCCAAACGTCAAAACAGCTTTAACAAAATCAGTCTTTACGTTGCTTGTGTCCCCTTCAAGAGGGCCCTAAGGGTACGCATTTGCCTTTGGTTGGGTGAGTCCTCCTCTTGGAATTAGAGCACGAATGTTGAAAAATCCTTGTGCTATCTCAGTCGTCAAATACACTCGTAAGATGAGTGTTGAAAGAGAACAAGAAGCTAATTAACCACAATATTTGGTGGTGAGGAGGTCTGGAGATTGTCAACGGAGAGGGCAATAGGTGTCAAATGTGGAGGGGTGGAGTGACTAGTTAAAGGTATCGTTATCACGTAGAATGACATTAGTCGTATCGGAGATAGAGTGAAAGACAATCTAAAATCTTGAATGTTGCCTAATGTCTTTAAATTTCATGCTCTTTATGTTTTTTCCCCAGGTTCATTCGTGTATAATACATTAAAGAGCTATGCTGATGCTTATTTTCTAGATTTCTCTAGTGTGCGAGCGACCGAGCGAGAATTCCGATGATCATTTTGATGGCGTGCACGTTCAACTTATTAGCGTGACTTGATCGGTGGCAGGTTAACAAATCCATCATAAAATTTATGAGACAAACAATAATATTTTTTAAGTTCATAATGAAAAAAATCCTCATGTATACATAATTTTATAAAATCCAAATTTTATCTAAACTTCCATTTTTAAAACGCCCCAATAATTTACTTGGTTGATGAGGTTGAATCTATAGAGTAGCTCAACAATAAAATCATGTGGGACGGGACTCGGGAGTATAAACATTCGTCATAAAAAGTGACAAAAAGATAAATACAAAAAAGAAATTGATGACTTTGCCTCGCCTGCTTGCTTTGACAGGAGTTCCCACTTTTCCCGAGTTGGAGTTTGGATCTGTGGGTGCGTGGGGCCACGCTCGCTTGCTCGCAGTCGCACCCACACTTTCGCTTTTTGTTAAGTTTTCAAAAAGTGTTAGGTTTCATTCACTTACCGACTACAGAAAAGAGTTACTCACTCATGGGGTTTAAAAGTTGCCAAAATGGTCACCTAACTAATAAGGTTGTGATAAATCGGCCACCACCATGGAATTTCTTTTTTTCTTCTTTGAGTATGTCACCATAATATAACAATCACTTCCTCCATCTCCTTTTTCTTAGGGGTGGGAAAAGGTGAGGTTGCGGTTAACTGCACCGAATAAGCGCGGTTAACTGCCATCACACAAGGGAAAAACCACCAATCGTTATCGTATTGCAAACGATTTGCGGTTAGTGAAAACCACCAACCGTTACCGCATTGTAAACGATTTGCGGTTAGTTAATCGCAAATCGTTTACAATGCGGTAACGGTTGGTGGTTTTCCCCTTGTGCGATGGCGGTTAACCAGCGGTTAATTGCACTTTAAACCGCACACCGCGACGTCACGGCCTTCTCCTGATCTCCTCTGTCGGTCGTGCTTTGCTCTGCTTCTCGACGGTCAACGGAATGGGACGCCTGCTGGTGAACGTCGTCGACAGTGTTGGACTGCTGCTCGGTGCTCGCAGCGCTGGTGCTCGCTGGGCGCTGCTCGGTGCCTCGCTAGCAGCTGCTTTTCCTCTTCGCCAACGAAGGAAGGAATGGAATCCTAGCTAGGCAGCCGATTTTGCTCTTCCTATTTGGGTTTGGCCATTTGGGCCTGAGGCTTTTGGCTGTAGAGTGGAGAGAGTTTGCATTTTGGGATGTTGGATGGGTTGAGTTTAGGCTGGGTATTCCTTTTATGCGGTTAGCTATTCGGTGGGGTTATTTGTTCGGTGCGGTTAGTCCGCAAACCGCAAAAGGGCCAATTCCACTAACTGTTACCAAATAAAGGCCATTTTAAACGATTTGTGGTTAACCATAAACCGCTCTTATTCGGTGCGGTTGCGGTTTAACCGCAAAACCGCAACCGTTTCCCACCCCTACCTTTTCTTCTTCCTCCATCTCCCAATTGCTTCTTCCTATGAGTCTCTTAGGTCGACTTTTTATTCGATGACAACCTATAAGCCCACCATGGTGAATTTGGTGCCCAAAATATATTACTAAATCATAGGGTTATTGGTATAATATGCCCCTCTACTATGACGTTTTATCAAACATGCCCCTCTACTATTTTTTACCTCAAACATGCCCTTGTACTTTGAAAAACTTATCAAACATGCCCTTTTGCTAAAATTTCCATCCAAAAACCGTTAACCAAGACCGAACTTTGGTTTGGGCGACTCAAATATCTAAAATATCTCTAATCATTTCATTTTAGAGTTTTTTTTCTTTTGTATAGCCAAATAATTATAATAATTTCACTTTGATGAGACCTAGAGAAATAAAGCAAGGGTCAAAACTGACATTTCCCCTCCCATTTATCGATGTCAGGTCGTCTAAATCTCGGTTCAACCATGATTGACGATTTTTTCAATGGAAATTTCAACTGAAAGGCATGTTTGATAAAACGTCATAGTAGAGGGGCATATTATACCTATAACCCTAAATAATATCAATGTTGAGCTACATATTATTCTCTCGAATTCTTGCATAATCAATTTCTTCTGTAAACCTTATTATTCTCTCGAATTCTTGCATAATCAATTTATTCTGTAAACCTTATATTGAAACGAAAACACGCCAAAAGCATACATACAAAGCGTTCGAAGGGACGACATCATTATTGATAAGCATTTGCTTATGCATACTACAATATTTTTGCTTGACACTCATAGTGGGTAACAACAAAAAAAAACCCATAAAAATCAACTGAACCGGAACACATTACTATTTTCTTACAACTACATTATCATCTTTATTTAGAAAAATATTAAGTTGGGTGATTGGTTTGTTACGACTCTCCTAATTAAGTGACTGTTTTAGCTTTTTTGAGTCCATACTCAGCATTAAACCCCCACGCGCCCAAGTTTTACGCGCTCAGTGACATCTCTTAATTTTCGCTTTCGTTTCCCTCTCTAAAAATTTCCTCTGCACTTTTCCCCACTTGCTGCCCCGATTTCCCCTCAAATTTTCCCACCATCCAAACTGAAAATCTCAGGAGAATCAGAAGCGAACCGAAGCAAAAGGACGGAAAGAAGGAAGCAAGTTAGGCAATGGACTCCAGGGAGCCACCGTCGCAGCAGCAGCAGCAGCAGCAGCAGGTTCCACCGCCGCACCATCAACACCAACACCAGCAGCAGCAGCACCACCACTTCCACCAGCAGCAGCAGGCGGCGGCGAACATGATGTTGGGCCCCAGTCCTGCCTCCTACCAAACTATGATCAACCCCAACGCGGCGGCGGCCGGATTCCCTTTCAATTCCATGCCAGTGCGGCCTCCTCCTCCTCCACCTCAATCGAAGCCCCCTACTTCCTCCGACGGGGGGCTGAACGCCGGCTCCTTCGACGGATCGTCCCCGACCTCGTCTGGGATGAGGTTCAGCATCGAGCCTGCTAAGAAGAAGCGCGGGAGGCCGAGGAAGTACACTCCCGACGGCAACATTGCTCTCGCTTTGGCGCCAACCCCTATTTCTTCTTCGGCGGCTTCAGTAGGTCATGTGGAGTCCGGCGGGGGCGCGGTTACTCCCACCGGCTTGTCCTCCTCCGACGGTCCTGCTAAACGGCATCGTGGGAGGCCGCCGGGTACTGTGAAAAGGCAGCTTGATGCGCTAGGTAATGGAATTGCAAATTATAATCTGGGCGTTCTTTTGACAATATTGCTGTCCATTGTTTTTCATTTCTTGTTGTTTTTTTGGCAGGAGGAGTTGGAGGGATAGGGTTTACGCCTCATGTAATCTTGGTGCAAGCCGGCGAGGTATGTTCTTCAAGTGCTTGATTCTGTTATCAATGTTAACTTTGTTCTGTTTAGGAAATGTGTCCGTTCTTGTTAGAGGGGATACTTGCTGTGTACTGCTACTGTAAGAATGTTTGGAATTGGATTTTGTCTTCCAATGATCTTATCTTTTGTGGATCATGCTTGTTGTGTCGATTGTTGTTTCGTTTTCGAATGTCGAGCTGACTAGTTCATTCCATGTTCTTCAAGTTTCGCCTATAGGCATCCCATCTTATGCTCCTGTGGAATGTAGATAGGGCACTAGGGTTTATGTTACCATAATGATCTTCTTTCTCCTTTCTTAAGGAAGGAGTGTCGAGGGTAGGTTTTGATGGACTGGTAGAATTTTTCGTGTGGATTGTTTGGAGTTTGAAGTCACTACGTCTTAAACTCAATGTTGAAATGAAATGCATGCTATTGGAACGGTTCTTCTTCAGCATGATCATGAACTCTGACAAATGGCTTCACCAGATGTGAAGTGTTCGTCTTGATTCTCCTTGAGCTGTAGTATTCCTACTGTTGCTGGTAGGCCCTTGCTCTTCAGTATGGGCAGAGGGGAACCAGGATGTACTTCTGTGGCTGAGTATGTTGGCCTCTAAAGCTTTGCTCTTGTGCATTCCATGGGTGCAGACTAGAGGGAGGACTTTGCTATTCCTCTTTTGGTCCTGCAGTAACCTTTTGCTTGTAGACAAAAACTGCCAATACTAGTTTACGAAGTTCTCCATTGAGTTTTCCCTTGCCTTCATATGTTTCGCCGGTAATGTATGTTGCTGCTTGCCTCTGAGCCCGGGTTGCAATTGTGGTTTGTAAAACAACGTTGTGTGGTTTTGAAGCCCTTCATTAAAATTACAGCTGATTTACGGGCTTAAGCTATGCTAGTACTCATTTTTTATGTTAATGTTACTGTTCGGTGAGTTTTAAGTGTTCTTGGTTCTTTGTTTCGTTCTATGCATTGAAATTGTGACCTTATCGGTTGTCTGAGTTAAACCGTGGGTGCAATGATCTGGATGCTAGTTGGTTGTAATTAAGTTTATCAAACGAAAATGTTTGGACAGTCAAGGCAATTAGCTATTTATCTGAAGGCTGTACTTAGTTTTCTGTTACAGAGCTCGGTTCCATTTTCCAAATTTATCTTCCAAAATCTAGAGGATTTACTAGATCAACTTTGTGGCGAGAAGCCAAACTTTTCTATTTGGGTGATTAACTTAACTTTCTCAATGAATCCCAAGAGCTATTCTAATTTCTAAATGTCAAATTCGCAAGTGGACTACTCATTGCAACAAGTGATCAAACTAAAAACCTTGTTTGCAACGGAAGCATTTTGAGAATCTTATCGCCAGAATCACTGATAACTCTACCAACTTCTTGTACCACCACCTAACGCAGAAATGTTCTGTTGTGCTCATGGATATGAAGTACAATGAGATCAGCATCTAACCTTCTCACTCACTCACTCCAATGATATCTGTTTGCAGGATATTGCTTCTAAGATTTATTCTTTCTCCCAGCAAGGTCCAAGAACTATATGTATTCTCTCAGCTAATGGGGCCATATGCAATGTTACCCTCCGCCAACCTGCAATGACTGGTGGGACAGTAACATATGAGGTGTGTTTCATGCCTACTGTACATAATTTGCTCGAACCATCCAAGTTTAACAGCAAAATGTCTGTCACTTGTGGGTTAGCTTTGACTGGTTAAAAAGGTAAGGAAAACTACTAGCTTGCTATGTCCAAGAGAAGCACTAAAAATGTAAGGAATCTTAGAATGCTATGTCCAAGATTAAATAGTAAAGAGTTAATGCAAACCAATATCTCTATGTCTAAGTAAAAAAAAATTGAGTTGAAAACATAGCTCTTTTTGCACCTGGTAGTTTGGTATCTTCTTCATCGAATATATGGAAGGGAGAATACGAATGATAAAAATGTAATCGTCAAGATACCTTGGGATATAAATGGATGATTAGCTTAGCTTTCATTGCGATGTTATGCATTCCTGATCTTGCAGAAGCTTTGCTATTTGAAATGCTGGAGTATGTATTGCAGTGGCTTAATATTCCACTCTGTGCCCTAAATCTTAATCAAGCATGACCCCTATGTTCCCTGGAGTGGAACTACATCTTACCTTGAACCTAATATTTTTGTTTGCAGGGGCGATTTGAAATAATTTCTTTAGCAGGTTCCTTTTGGCTTTCTGAAAATAATGGAAATAAGAGTAGACATGGTAGTTTGAGTGTTTCATTGGCTGGATCAGATGGTCGAGTTTTGGGTGGTGGAGTAGCTGGAATGTTAATGGCAGCGACACCTGTGCAGGTATGCTTGCTTCTGTTTCTCTCTGCCTTTCTCAGTATAAATTCTCGTCTTCAGAACGGAATATATCCCGAATCCATTAACAAATTGATTTAGCTCGAGTTGGCTTGCCCCTGTGTAACTCACATTTAGTAGGTTATCCGTTATATTAATCGAATCTGATCAACCATAAACTTGGCCGTCGAACTCACTTATAGGTACACATCGGGCACCGAACATTTGAGACAACTCTAAATTTGTCTTAGTGAGTCACCGTTAGCAAAAAAAAATTATGGGCAATATAAAAAAACTTTATTGAGCACATGCTCCCCAGAAAGAAGGGTAGCATCCAGATCATTTACAAAGTATAATGGTTGTAATATCAACAACACTCTCACACTCTTCAATCAGAAGCAATTTTCATTTCTTCTGTTATTCGTCTTTGTGTTGCTGATGTGGCAGGCTTAGTGTATAGGCTGCTGCCACAGCAGCCATATAACAGCAAAAACTATCGAGGTAAAATGTAACAGTATTTTGTTAGGAACACGTTAGTGCTTTAGTTATCTTAATATAGAGTTCAATGCCCAATGTGATGCTTATAAGCGAGTCCGGTGACCAAGTTGATACTTTAATCCATAGATTTACCTATTTATACACTCGTTTGCAGTATCATCATTGTACCTAAAACTTGCTTGCGGTTTTTTGCTGCATAATCTACCAGGTCATAGTCGGCAGCTTTGTTGCCGAAGGCAAAAGATCAACCCCGGAAGAATCTAAATCTGGACCCTCATTGGCACCTGCATCTCAGATATTGAATTTTGGAGCACCAATGTCAGAATCCAGCCCTCCGTTTCAAGGAGGGTCTAGCGAGTCCTCTGACGATCACGGTAGTAGCCCCTTGAACCGCGGTGGTGCTGGAATGTACGGCAATGCAGGTCAATCCCTTCACAGCATGCAAATGTACCAAGTCTTGGCCGGCCAAAATCCTCAATGAATCCGTGGTTAGCGGCCAAAATAACAGCAACAAACAAAGAAGGGTTCCCTTTCAGCGTGGGGAGAGCATTTACATTTAGGGTGCACATTGGATCATCGTTTCTTGGGCAGCAAAGATTTCTAGAGGTCGCGGCGGACTCCTAATGCTAACCAGCATCATTATACATATCGTCATTATTATTGTTTCCTTCTTGAGTAGGTTCTTGGGGTTTTTTTCCTTCTGTTTCTTTCAGTCTTTCCCTACCATTCCCGATTATGATTCGTGTTAGATATCGGGGTATCGAGGAATAGCTGATGGCGGTGATGGTGCATGGGGCTGTGCTTTCTTTTTTAGCTAGAGGTGTGTATTTGTAGAAGAGTAGAGAATGGGTTAGGATGGTAGTTGGTTTCATTTTAGCTGTTTTTAGGATTCAATGTGACTGACTGACTGGTTCACACTTTCATTTGTCTGCAATCTAGTGATCAAGGTTACGATAATTATCGAGCATATCTGCGCTTTCAAAGCCTCCACCTATGGTTCATACTTCATAGCTTTATGATAGCTTGGAAGCAATCGAATTGTTTGCCCAAATTTAAGAGTTTTCGTATGGGTTCTTTCTCTCGCTCGTTTCGTTGGTTCATCGGGCTCGACACATAGCAGCACCTTTGCGGTCACATAGAAGATTCCCAGAGCCATGGGAGCTAGATTTGGGTTGGATCTCCAGAGCCATGGCAACCTGTAAGTGATAAAGCCAGATAAAGTGACGAGAGAGCACAAGTCCAGTAATCGCCTGCAAAAATATAGCAGCAGCATATATCTCTAATATCTGTGTAAGTCAGAACCATGCCACTAATTAATTATCATAAGAGTTCGTTGGTTAAATGTATAATGCAGCATGATTACAGTCGTCAGACACAGTTAGAGCAGTCATAAATTTCCATATCACTGTAATTAATTACTTACCAACCGTGTAAAAGAACCCACCAAGGAGTTTTCTATTCCCACGACATAGGCGTCACTATAAATAGGACACCTCCTACTCACGTTAGAGTTAGACCTACTTTCACCCCGCATTATTATTAATTCAATTAGTTTGGCCGATTTATGAATTCAATTCATGAATATTTAAAAATTTATAGTTTGATACATATACTTTTATAATTTATACTATAATACCTAAAATTTATTTTTTTAAACAAAAAATATCATGCAAAAATTGCATGTTGGTACCTAGAAGTTTTCAAAACAACATATTAGTACCTAACATTTTCAAATTTACATAATGAGTTAATATTCGGATATAATGTATATCTATGAATCTATTTTATCCAATTCATGAATCCACCAATCTATTAATACAATCCATAAATCATAAATCAATCCACCAATTCATTAATTCAATCTATTTGCCACCTCTAGCCTCTAGGAGACAATAACCAACTAGTTGTTGAAGGAACATGACCTCATGATGCATTGTCAGGGGAGGAGCTACATTGTAGCTAGGGTGCCCCCAGGATTGGTTCTGGCCCCTAGATCTTTAAGGATATTTAGTATAAATTTTATAAGTAGAACTTGTTCTGTAAATTTTATCATATAATAGTTATGTGGTCTAATGGTAGCCAAACTTAACTTATGTTTTAAAGCACACGGATTCGATCCACATTGGTTTTAGTTATTTTTGGCCCCCCGGTCTCGAAATCCTGGCTCCGCCCTGTGCATTGTAAGTCCAAAGAAGATGATTTGAAGGAACAGCTGCTGCCAAAGCTGGGATTCTTTAGTTGGCATTTCATCCAAAACTTTTTGGGAAGACACTTTTCTTCTGCTTGTTTTGGTGGGACAACCGCGTCGACAAATATTACTTCGACATCTACGTTCACAAGTAGGCTTGGAAGTTTGGTACTGTTATTTGATATTATCGAATACCGTATCGAATTTATCATTATAGGGGTATTATCGAATACCAGCTTATTTTTTAGTGAACAAATTATTTAGGGATTGAGATTGAAATTGATTTTAGGGTGTAATTCGGTATTCGAATTTCTGTATTTGGTATTGGGATACTGATATCGTACCGTTTTCCACCCTATACATAATAGGGATACAAATAGTTGCATCTAAGTTTAGAAGGCGCTCTTTTTCCTTCTCTCTATTTCATAACTCTCTCTCTCTTCTCTCTAGAGTTCCTACCTTGAGCCTTCGAGGGTTGTGTCAGACACGAGATGCACAAGCCGACGAGGTTTAACCCTCAACCACCATAAAGAGTGTGGAGCATTTTAGAAGACCCAGAAACAGAAAGCATGTAAATGGAGGTAGTAGAACCTTGTACTGTATGTGGATATTTCATAGAGAATTCTAGATAGGAGATATTTATGTAGAGAATTTTAGATGGTAGATCTTATCGTAGGATTAGATTAATTTTAGCCGTCAATTTTGGAGGTGAGGCCTATATAAGGAGAACCTCCCCTCATTTGTATTCATCTAGAAATATTGCGAGCAATAACATCTATAGAGAGAGTTCCTCGAGTTCCTCCCAAATTCTTGTGATAGTGAACGAGTGCGAGCGAGACTGACTTAGCTAGTTAGCTGTCAAAAGAGACTTGAGTGCTAAGGCCGCATGGCAAGATTTAGTCCGTGACATTTGGTATTAGAGCCTGTTTGTGCTTGCAAGGAAGGAAAAGCTTCAACCTTGTCCTCAAGAAGTTCAACCTCACCACCGCTTCCTCCTCTTCCCATCTCCATCTCCATCTCCACCTTCACCTAGTCGCTTCTCTGAATCACGTCGCAAACCACAAAACACAAACTAAAACCCAACAAACCACACCATAAATAACATAAAGCATACGAGAACATCACAAAATATTAAAAAAAAAAATCAAAACTGACCACAAATTTCTTAAAGCATACTACAAATCTCATAAACAAACCACAAGTTCCCTAAAAGACACTAGAAACCTCATAAAAACACAAATTCCCACAAGTTTCTTGAAGCATACTTAAAACCTCATAAAACATAATACAAGTTTTCACAACTTCCCTGAAGGCCACTAGAAACCTCGCCATAAGTATAACGAACCATACCACAAAACTCATACAAAATACACAACAAACGACACTACAAATAACATAAAATATACAAAACACAAACTTATAAACCAGACCAGAACTTCACCAAACCACAAAATTCATAAAACATACAAAAAAAAAAAAAATTTAAAAGCTAACTGCAAGTTTCTTAAAGCAGATCAAAAACCTTATAAAGTAGACCACAAGTTCTCTGCAACACATTAGAAACCTCATAAAATAGATTATAAATTTTATAAAGCATACAAAAAATCTCATAAAATAGACAAGATATTTCCTCAACCATTTCACAACTTTTTGGTAGATATGGAAGCTTTTTAAATGTTCAACTTAATTAATAATAGTCTTATATTTCCAAATCATCACATTAATTATTTGTAACGGTTAAATGAACAAATCAGCAACCATATCATCCCATTAGGCATGAACATTAATATCCACATTATCTCATTAATTAATTTCCATAAAATCCCAACAGTTAATAAATAGTCCCACTAAAACATTTCAACTACTCTGTACACCCCATCTCTATAAAAACCAAACCAGTCCTTCACAAACTACCACGAACCAAAAACACAACTCAAATTATTAGAAGGAAAAAGAAAACACATCTATGACGATGACAATGGCTATAGTAGCAACAACAATCTGGATAATTGTAGCAACAATAGTAACGGGACCTTCATCACTAGTACAAAAGGTCGAAGGAGCGATCATGAACCCGACGAGAGTGACAGTAATCAACATGTTGACGGCAAAATCAGACCTGACGATACATTGTAAGTCGAAAGACGACGATCTGGGCGAACATGTGCTGCCGTATCAACAATCTTTTGCTTGGAATTTCAGGCCCAATTTTTGGCAAACGACCCTGTTCTTCTGCTCCTTCGCTTGGCAAGGCAGTGGTGACTCGCATTCGTTTGACATCTATGTTCAGAGGAGGGATCAGAGCCGCTGCGTTGATTGCAGATGGGCCATCACCGAGAACGGACCTTGCTTGTACAAATGGAGGAGCTCAGATTATGATGTTTGTTACCCTTTTAAAAATTAGCTATAGCCAGGCAATTTGTTAGTGTCTTTGATTGATCCCATGCCTTCAATAAAACTTATAAGCTTCTCATGGTGGAGTTCGTGTCAGGAAAACTTTGAGTAAACAATTTGAAGGCATGATCTAATCACTCTTTTTAGAGTTTTTTTTCCTCCTGCTACGAATTGCTGGTAGGAAACATCCAGGAGTCTCTCCAATAACAATTTTTCAGATTTTTGTATTTGTGATGCAAATAAGGGAAAACTTGGAAGAAGAAGAAGGACTTTAGAATGAATTATGACTATAACAGTCTTTTATCAAGGAAAAAACAATCCGAACAAATCATAATATACAACATGAGGCTGGCAGCGGTTGCGATACCATTAACCAAGGTTGTCAACCCGCGGGTTGATCCACGGGTCGACCCATTTGACCCTGACCCGGTGAGAAAAACGGGCCGCACGCACCCGCCGGGCCGACCGCTATTAGGTACCGGGTTGGAGGTCAAATTGTGTCAATTTTTTCTTTAGTTTGCGAAATGCGCCTATTTTCCAATTTTTCTTTTCGCCTAACTCAATCTTTGGAATACTAAGTTGAACATTTGAATATTTATGTTATATAAGTGTGTGTGAATTTTCACTATATGTTGGATCTAAATACGATATGTTATTTTGGTGTAATATTATATGTTATAACTCATATGTTAGATAAGATTTGATATAATTTATGAGGATAAGTGCAATATAATGACTCTTTCTATATTTCCGGGCCAAACCGGGCTAAAACGGTTGAACCATTAACTCTTGACCCACTAGCTCGACCGGATCCGGGTCAACCCGCGGGTTGACAACCTTGCCATTAACACTGGAGGGGCATATCATAAGAACGCCAGACGTGACGGTGACCAACATGCTGTATCAGCATCACTACCTGGCGATGCATTGCAAAGCAAAAGACGACAATTTTGAAGTAAGAGTGCTCCCAAAGAGAGGACACTGGATTCATAAAAAAAAAAAAAAAGACACCGGAGTTGACATTTCATCCCTAATATCTGTGGTACGACGTGTAAGAAAGTGGTTAAAATTCATACATAGGCTTTTTTTGATAATTTGAGTTATTAGTTCACGTGTTCAAGTTCTCACGATTCCCAATATTAACCAAACTACCAAAGTGTTAAACATATAGTACGACGAGTCTTTGCAAACTTCCAGTCGAGAAGATCAATCAATCATGGTTGGTTATAGTAATGCTATCCTTTCAAGTTTCAACGTAAGATTCGGATAGGGTTAATGTTGACCACAAATTGATAATTATTGATCACTTAACAATGACTATGAGTAGCGTACCTACCTGTTTTCATTTCCTTCTATGCCTACTTACCTAGTAATGCAAACTCCTTGAGATTAATTAATCATACGTGATGGATCAGCTTGCTGAATGTTAGTATCACGTTAATTATGAATTGTAGTACTACAATCATATTTATAGCTAGTTATTATTTTTGCAGTCATATATTAATTTATTATTTTTGAAGTCATAAATTCAGAAAAAATATAACTTTATCTTTCTTGTTGAAACTCACTAATTTATTCGTCATATATCACCAAAACCTCTTATTGTTGAAACTCACTCTTTTTATCCTAATAATGAATTCCATGAAAATAATATATCAAACTTTGAGCCTCAACTACACGAGTGAAGAAATAATCTACACTAAGCAGTTACAACAGGGCAGCCGAGAGGTAACTTTGCATTAAAAAGAAAAAAAAAGTAACTTAGCATGGTTACTACCTAAGCGTTCACTCCAAATGATGAAAAGACATTTTAGGGTTAGAATCAAATTTTACGTCTATTTAGAGAGAATGATCTATCTATTTTATTTAGTCATTTAGTTAAACCAATACCAATGATTTGTTATTGGAGCAAACATCAATAACTACTATATCATCTGACATATGTCTTTTTATTTTTCAATGGATTTCCAGCTTCCATTCATGGAATTTTTATATATAGTGGGTAATAGCTCTGGTTGCTCGTTGTTCAATAATTTTTGTCTAGACAGTTTATATCATTCATAAATAGTGTTTTGATCTAAGATTTCAATTCTTCCAAATTTCAACAGTAACATATTGTTCCATGTCCAAAATACTTTAGAATCATGGTCAGTGGAAGAAATAACTTAACATTGTTACTACATAAGCGTTCACTGCAAGTGTTAAAAGGACTTTGTTTTAAGACACGTGAAAAATACTCTTCGGTATTTAATGGGAGCAAAATCATAAATAATTATTTGATAGAATATATTGAGATTGATATCATATGAATGCATCTTACAAAATTTTCAAAATATGAAAACACATTGAAAGACACTGCAAATGGTTTAACATTTTCGTACGATATTAAAAAAAATCGAACTCATCTTGTTTACAATCATGTCTGCACGCATCGTTTCACAACCATATTTTTAGAGCTGAGAAACGGTGCGGTCTACGGTCCAGACTGAGAGAGTAAAGTATAGATAAGAAACCAGATCACATGCATACTATACGGTCTAGACCAGACCACGCCTGTGCGGTCTGGTCCATGTAGACCACAATGAACAAAAAAATGAACACTTTGTTAAGTCAACCACAATAAAAATTGAACCAATAACCGAGGAAAAAAATTGCTTTTTGCCTTAAAACATAAAATCCAACATGTATGAATAATTTTGACTCCCTAAATCTTAGTAAATAACAAAGAAACAAAGTCAAAAAATCCCAACTCGAACCATAACGTCACAAACATTAACATAATGTCATATGGAGACACAATCGTCTCTATTCTCTAGTGAAATGTGGTTGTCAATGAAGGAGGGGACGCGATTCTCAAAATTAAGGTTGAGACTTGAGTCTCATTGGGGGAGTTGGGAGAGTGGTCGAGTGGGATACTAACATGTATTCGGAAGTCGGCTAGATCCACGGTTTGGTCCCGGAAACCGCGGTCTAGACCAGACCAGACCAAGAGTTCAAAACTTCATACAATACAGACCATGGACCAAACCAGACCATTTTTCACGGTCTACGGTCCGGACCAAACTGTGCGCTCTGGTTTGGTCCACGGTTTTTCAAACATTCTGGTCTATTTTCCCAACCCTACATATCTACACAATATATAATAGCAGGAAGGGGAAAACTGTTGCTCCATTTCAAATTTCCTGCAACGAGAGTGAAAGTAGGAAGGACATTTTGGTCTTCACAATTACTTTTTTTATTTATTCATTAAAAAGACACGTACTGGGATTCAAACCATGACCACTTTTAAAAAAAGCAAGGATCATGATCAATCACACTAAGTACATTTGTTGTATATTTTTAAATTAAAAACATATAATAGCAGAGAGAAAAAACCCTTCCCCCATTTCAAATTCCCTACTCCAAAAGCGTTCGTAGGAAGGGTAGAATAAGGAGTGTCAATTTTTTTCTCTTTCCTCTGTGTAACGGCCAACTTACCGTACACATGCGGGTTTAAACGGGCCAAGGAGTATCAATTTTTTTCTTTAAGCCCTTTTATTTCTCTATGTTGGTAAAATATATATGAAAGGGCAAAAACAACACTCCTTTTTATTGCTAAAAAGAAAAAATTTAACAATAAACTAATGCATGGATTCTAATTGGCTAACCACTAACCATAAAATAAAAGAGTTGAATGGGTCTGACCTACACATGATTTGGCCATCAAGCAAAACAAATGAACATCATGGGTTTGTCATTCTAAAACAAACTATTTTTTCTAGCATAAATACATTATATTTTAGCCACTAAGATATAATGTATTTTAAAGCTATTAAATGGTTCAATCTCGACCAACCCAATTAGGCTAATTTTTATCATTTCAAATATATATTATGTAATTATTTGATATCATAATGATTAAATTATAGTGTATTTTATAGGGAATTGTTTGGTATTCGTTAGTAAAAAACTCAACAGAAAGATCTATTTGGTTATTTTTAACATTAAAACAATCCTAAATATTTTCAGTTTTCTTTCTAATTTCTATAGTTTTATTCCCGAATCAGTAATGTGCAAATGGCAAATTGCAGTCATCTCTTTTCTTTTACTATTTTTTTAATTTTAAAATAGAAAGTTTAATAGTAAAGAATAATTAGAGTTTGACATGAGTCGGTTAAACAAGCTGAATTTCAAGTTTTGGCCCGTTTTGATCAAGTCTAATTTATAATCACATGGTTCCCTGATACCCAATAAAAATCTCAATCCAAACCAGTTCGGCAAGTGAGTCTGTGTTTACCACCATTTTCTAGGGATACAGGGACGGCGGTTCCTATCCCAAATTGTGTTGTTCGTTCTTGATTTCTTTAGATTTTATCATGGCCTAGCAAGATGAAAGTTTTATAAATCAAATTAATCAGCCAACAGGTCGAATAAAAGCTAGCAACGATTGTGAGATGCTCATTTCCCGAAAACCGGCGGGATAGGCGATTTTTTATTCGATTTTCTGGAATTCGGTTTCTATAAAACTTACTCCACCTCATCATATTACCAGAAACAATATTGTTTCACAAGGTAACAGGTACTTGATTTTGGTTCATAAGGCTGCTTTTTTATTCGTTGCATCATCCATGTCTCTTTCCTGCTAAAATTCAATATCTTTATCACGTGTTTAAAAAAAAACTATACAACAATAAGCTATATACTATATTACATTATCAAATTTCATACCTCACATCACTCCGACCAACTGGCCGGGACCATGCTAGTTTTCATTTGTACTGCTGACTTGGCAACCACGTCGCTGAAGGTAGAGTACAGGCCAGCCTTTTTCGTCCAAATGGAAAATAAAATAAAGGGAAAAGCAACTGACCGATATAAAATACAAATTTTACGTTCCAATTTGAAGAATATATATACTGAGAATAAAAAAAAAGATAGAATATATATACTTATTCAAGATGACCGATTTAGTGTGATTAATTTACTGTACGAAACCCATTATTCTAGGTGTTGACTTCATTAACCAATCAA